AGGGGCGCTCCAATTGGTCGCGTAGCTATTTTGGTTCAAGAACTTCTCTTCGTATCATGGTTCGAGCCACCAGTTCCATACGCTACGTGTATTTGAGGTTGTCGAGATGCCGCCAAAGGGTGGAAAAGGTCTGAGCATGGAGGAACGTAAAAAATCTCAGGAAGCCTTGGACACCAAGATATCAAAATTCTTGAAAGAGGTCGAGGATAAACAGATAACTGAGCCCAGCAAGGAGGTGTTGAAGAAATATTTCAATGTGAGTGAGCTTCAGGCGTTGTGGAAGCGACTTGACAAAGCACGGGGGTCACAGCCATCTACGATCCAGGAAGCGTGGTCAAGCTTGAAAGACTTGGGCTCATGTCGTGCCGAGAAGGAGCGTTATGCGACGTTGCTGGCGTTCATGCAGAAAGGCGATGAGGATGATACCAAGTGGGCGGACCATCTCATCGAGATCAAAGAGGAGATCACCAAGTCGAAGGTGGCCCAGAGGAAGATCCAGAAGTTCTACAAGGGCGAGCTCGAGCAAATCCACGGGAAGTCCGAGGCGGCCAAGTTCATCAACAACGGGAAGTTCAAAAAAATTCTCGACGAGGACGGCGACGAGGTGTACATCAAGAACACCGACGTCATCATCCTGGAGAAAGGTCGCAAGACTACGGCAAGTGGTTCGAGGCACTCGGCATTGCGGAGCATAAACTAAATCAATATCGATCAGGTTGTTCAAAACCTGAACCAACCTCAAGGCGGACAGAAAGTGGTCACAGAGTGGTCACGGGACCACTTGGTGACCACTCTGTGACCACTTTGGGGTTGAATCAGGTTTTGAAAAAAAACCTGATCAGCACTGATGCAGTTTAGGCTCCACACTGTCTTCAAGCAACTGACTATCGACAAGGACGGCTACGCGGCTGCCATCACGAACTTCAACGATTTCGTCGCGGGTGCGATCGACACGGGGGGGGGCGCCCAGGAAGAGGCCTGCTGCGGCCATCGAGGATAAAGGAACCGATGATGCTGAGCCGACGGGGGACGGAGGTCAGCCGCCGAAGGTGATGAAGGCAATGAAGGGTACTACTGGCGGCGGTGATGGCGGCGGCGGCTCGCTGTATAAAGAGCTTGCTACGACGAACCGTAAGTGCGGGGCGATCGTTGCGAAGCTGCTCAAGATCAAGGAGACGATGACGGTGACAAAGACGAGCAAGCCCATCCACACGGTCATAAAGGATCGGTTCAAGGAGGGAGAGGAGCTCAAGAAAAAGTTGGCATTACACAACGTGTGGGGGAAGAACTGTGACACCAAGTCTGCCAAGGCCAACATCAGGAAGTTCGAGTCTTTCGAACAGAAAGTTTCCAAGGAGATCTCGCAGTCAAAGGCTCTGCGATAAGTAGATCACGGTCGTTCGACAGGAAATAGACTCGTGAGTTTATCTCTCGGCCGCGCTGGCGGTGCAGCTACCAAGTCCGCTGCATCTGGTTGTGTGATTATGCTCGCACGCCTGCCACCCCCGAAACGCACTCCACCGATACGCGAGGGCCCCAAGAGGGTACTCGAGGGCCCCAAATAGGGTCCTCATCATATATCATCATCAACAACATCATCATCATCATCATCATCAGCATCATCATACATCATACATCAATGCAAACACCAACATCACCATACATCATACACCAATGCCAGCAATCAACATCATACATCATCATCAAGAATGAATGAGCTTGAGAATGGAGATTAATGTGTGTGAGCAGTTGCCTGTTTGAGCTTGCTGGCAGAAACCGACCCCTTTCAGTCAAAAGGGGTCGGTGTATTGCGTCTCACTTTCCATATCATACAACACTGTGGTTCAACATGCCGTCAAAATCATCATCGCCATCATCCGTGTTAGCCAGTCTGGCTTGATTCCATGTTTCGTTTGCCGAATTCAACAAAAGCTCCATTGGCGTGTTGTTCTTTCTCTGTCCGTTTGATTGATGGACGATGCTACTGTGGCTGCGAAGCTGTCTTCTATGGGAGGCAGGAAACAGAGTGCAGAATTTGATGTAGAAATGAGTTGCCAAGATTTTGGCAACCAGTGCGACTTGGTAGACGCGTTGCTTTACTTGTTCGGCCGGGGTACATTGTCTCTTCCAAGTATAAACTGGCTTGCAAAATGCGCAATCAAAGCTGGCGCAACGGGCCAGCAGTTGACACAGATAGCAGAACTCGGTTCTGGAGGCTTTTATCCAGGGAACATGCGACGAGATCTGCTTCGACAGTTTTGCAAGACGTCAACTTTACCGAGGCCTGTGAAAGTTGAGGTACCAGCAGTTGACAGATTGCACAAAAGCGTGTCAGTTCAAGCGTCTATCATATCATTGCCAGCAATGCTTGAAGCAATGTGGAATCATCACCCAAATGAGTTGGATGCATTTCTGGGTGTTAACCCATCTTTGTTTTGGAACGCCATTCGTGCAGACGATCCAAAATTGTTGGCGCTGGGGGACAGTGCTATTTCCGACAATTGGAAACGAACAACTTACCCCTTCATCTTGCACGGAGACGGAGGTGTATATACTAGGAACACACAGGCCTCGATTATGACAGTATCTGTGAAGAGTACACTTTCAGATTCATTTGAAGATGACATAATGCCGATGGTTGCGTTGCCAAAACACATTCGTAGTTATGGCAACGGGGACACGTCAGATGAAATGTGGGCAGGTTTGGCGCATCAGTTGAATGCTTGTTATGATGGAAAGCACCCAACAACCAAACATGATGGCACGCCTTGGGATAAGGATAGCCTGCAGGCTGAGCGCGCAGGAAAGCGCATTTGCGGAGGCCGAATTCGCATTGTCATATGGTCGATTACAGGCGATCTTGAGTTTTACTCAAACGAGTGGCGTTACCCTCACTTTAACTCGAATAACCCATGTTGGATGTGCAGCGCTAGCAGAGATGATCATAAACCTGACTCGCTATGCGTCATGGAAAACAAATCTTAAGAGCCCAGCCTACGATCACGCGAACCAGCTTACAGATCATCCCATTACAAAACTGAACAACGTCAGTCGATTCTTGAGCATGGGTGATTTGATGCATACTGGCCCCCTTGGCGTGCTATCTTGGTTCCTAGGTGCAGTGATGTATGAGTTAGTCGTCGAAGGTGTGTGGGAAGGTACTGAAACAGAGAGGGTTAATCGACTGTGGGAAGAGATAACACTTGAATACACAGCACAGGGTGCAACTAATAGGCTCACCCTGCTCAAACTATCGATGCTTTACCATGGCCAACATACTTATCCTTGCTTCACAAGCAAGGCAGGTGAAACATTGCAGCTCCTGTACATTTTACATGAGATGTGTGTTGATTGTTCCGACGGTAGCGATAGGGATCGGCACCGCCTCAGGTGCTTTGAGTCATTGTGTGATATTTTCCAGACTTGTTCTGCGAATGGTTTCATGATCCCCGAAGCGGACGCTGATAGAATGCTTGGCAGTTGTGATGATTTCTTGGTGCACTACAACTGGCTTGCTCAGTACTCTGCTACAAAACTTGTTTTGAATTATAATATAGCTGTGAAGACGCATATGCTTTGGCATATTTGCTACAACGCTCGGCTCATCATCCCCAAAACGATATGGTGCTTCGAATTTGAAGATTTCGTCGGCGTGGTGATTCGAAGTGCGCACGGGTGCATGGCAGGCACCCCCTTGGCATTGGTCGGCACTAAGGTGCTGGAGAATTCTTTACTCGTGCATCAATTGCGGCTCCGTTCAAGCTGACGGGTTCATAGACATGGACCCCTTCCCCCAGAAAAAAAACAAGGGCAGCCTAATATTCCTGAAGGCGCTTGTCGGCGATGGCCGCACCCCCAAAATATTCCTGAAGACGCCTGTCGGCGATGACCGCATCCCCAAAGTATTCCTGAAGACGTGCGTGTGAGCATTCGCGTTTCAAGTATGTGCGCGAGCGACGTTCCTACTGCACATGCGCGCACGGACGTACGCGCCGCGCGGTTCCATGCACTTGGAATGTTGTTTTGGTGATGGTGTCGTTCTAGTTGTTGTTATTGATGCTGTTGATGATTTGTTTTTGTTGTTAGCATGCGATGCATGCGGATCATTTGTTGCTGTATGTGTTGTTGTTGTTTGATTGTCAATTTTATGTTATGTTCGTTGATCGTTTTCATACCGTGGTATCATATCCTCCCTGCTCCTCCCCCGCCCCTCTCCGCCGAGGTGCGCTTGGCGCAGTTCCCGATCATCGTGGGTACATGGAGTTCGTTACGCAGTGCTTCGTCACCCTGACCGTCCGCTCATGCTTGAAAAAGCACGCGCGCAGGCGCGAGTACATGTGCGCATACGCTCGCAATTTCACATACATGCGCGCATATATATATATATATATATATATATATATAGTCACGGTGCATACCCACGTGCGCGCGCACACGCGTGCCATTCGAGACCGCGGAAGTGCGTGATTCCTGCTCATCGTGGGGTACATGGCATGGTGTTCGTTACGCAGTGCTTCGTCGCCCTGGTCACTGGGGGAGGGGGGAAGGGGGGGGGGGGGGCGCACGCGCCTGCGCATTCGCGCGAGGCCGCCGAAGTGCCTTTGGTGCGGTTCCTGCTCATCGCGTAGTACATGGCATGGTGTTCGTTACGCAGTGCTCCATCGCCCTAGTCACAAGAACGCGCGCTTTCGCAGACTTCTATATCACACTTATGGTGTGTATATATACATACATGTATGCACACATAATGCCACGTTTCCATTACGTATGTGCACATGTGGATAAGGTGGTTTTACGCCACCACGTGACCATAGCATGTATTATGATATGACGTACCGTCGGCATCGCAAGACGAAGCTGTAGCATTATAAACGATATCAATAACGCACCTTGTGCTACTATCATGTTTTGTGACATCGTAGCGTTTCTTGTGATATCATAGCGAAAAAAAAAACATACTAGTCGTAAAAAACATGATATGTGGATGCTCAGGGTCCCGCCTCCGCGCCGGCCTGCTCCCCCGCCCAGCGCGTGGAGAGCTGCTCCCGGTAGTGCCACCCCACGCCAGCGGCGGCCGCGAGCAGCCCAAGCACGCCGAGCCTCGCCGCCGCGGCGGGCGACAGGCAGAGGGCGGCGGGGGCGCGCCTCGCGCGCGCGCGCGGCCGCCCGGGGAGGCGCCCGCGGCCTCGGGGCCGCATGGCCCCCCCCGGGGGGGGACTTGGGCGTGGCTTCATGGGGGGGTCACCAATGGGGGGTCAGAAAAGGTCCCCTTTCGTGTCCCTTTCGGGCCCCTCCAGAGCCCCAGGGGGCTCGCTTGGGTACCATCTGGGTACCTCTTCGGACCACACTCGCCGCCCCCCCATTCACGATCCCCCCCTTACGCAGCGCCCCAGGCTCCCTCCGGGGCCGCATGCCCCCCCCCCCCCGCCTAGCAGACTCACCGTCGGGCCCCTTCGGAGGCCGGGGGGGGGGGGGCTCCCTCCGGGGCCGCATGGCCCAGGGGGGGGGGGGGCTCCCTCCGGGGGCCCGTGCTGCGTCTGGGCCCGGGCGGCCGCCGAGCAGACTCGCCATATGGGCCCCCTTCGGAGGCCGGGCGCGCTCGGCTCCCTCGGCCCCTGTCGGGGAGCGGGCCCGCGCGGCGGCCGGGGTGGGCGGCCGCACGGGCTCAGACGCCATGAGGCGCTCTCCGCCCGCAGGCGGGGGGCCCCGAGGGGGGCTCTGGCAGATCGATCGGGGGGGCTCGGGGGTGGCGCGGAGAGTTGGGGTCCCGGGTGCCTCCTCCACGTCTTATCACTCTAATTATCCGCCCCGCCCTCCCCCCCGAGGGCTCCCGCCACCCTCCTCCTCACTGCTCCTACCTCCCTCTTCCGCCAGTATCGTCCTCCTCGTCCTCCGCTACGTAACCTGCTCCTCCCTGTCCTGCCTCCAACACCCCTCCCTCCATCCTCTTCCTCCTAAACGTACTCCTCAACCTCACCTTGTGTCCCGTCCCATTCTCGTCGTGATCTGACTTCGATTTGGATCAGACTTCCTTGTCATCAGCAAGGAACTCCTCGTCCTCCAACCTTTTCCTGCCCCGCCACGTCCTCCTCGTTCTCCTGCCTCCTCTTGTTCCTATTCCCCCTGCTCCTATCATTTGTCTGCTCCTCCTCCCCTGAAATCCGAGGTCGGGTTTTCTTGTTCCACAGCGTGGACCCCTGGAGGTCTGAACCCCTCCCCCAGGACCGCCTGTTCAACCTGACTTGATTTCTGGCCGTCCCGGGGCCCGGGGCGAGTCTCCGGAGGCCGAGCATGCAAAACGACAATCAGATGCTGCCAACAGCTTGTTGACGCCGACATACAAAACCTGGGTCCTTCCAGGCCGTGCAGGTTGGGTCGGAGGGGAGACGGGCCTGCACGCCGGCGTCTTGGGAGACGCCCTCCTCTGAGGGTACACGCTTCGAGCTGTTGGCTTGCTGCAGGCGACCGCTCGTCGAAGACATCTGTATTAACATTCGACGAAACACACGGACTCACCCAGACCTCGATGCCGCGACTATACCCCCCATAAAAAATATATATATATATAGATATATATATATATATATATATATATATATATATATATATATATATATATATATATATATATAAAACACGCATGTGGAGAGGTCCGCGCGGATTTCTTACATCGGCGCTGGAGCACGTCTGCTGGCGACTCCTGCGCCGCCCCTGGCGCGCTCCGCGGGACAGGGGGAGGGTCCAGCGACGATCCAAGAAATCCATGCGGAGCTCCGACAATTCATGCTCATGCCAAGACACCCGACGTCATGAGCTCCACGCGCACGAGCACATCTTTGAGCGATCGTGGGCTGGAACCGATCCAAGGCGTATGATGCCGGCCGACGCGCGCGCAAGCGCCGGCCAGGGCAACGAAGTTCGCCGGGCCCTCACGGAGCAGTGGCGCGGCAGTCGCCAAGCCATCACGGGCCGAGGCAGGGCGAGGAACCCATGCGATGGACTCCTGGCCACGGCTGCCCTGAATTAGGACGACAGGGGGCCAGCAAGACAAGCGCAATGGGGTGGCAAGCGAAGAGGGGGGGGGAAGCGAGGAGCGAGGAGCGACAGCTGACAGCCGAGCGAGGCAGACGGACGGACGCGACGGACAACAGGCCGACCGACGAGAGATGGGAAGCCGAAAAGGAAGGAGGCACCACACATCACAAGAGGGAGGAGGAAATGAGACATTACAGGAAGGCTGGGGGGGAGGAAGGGGAACAGCAAGCGGCCAGAGGCACGCCTGGAGGGCAACGCGACAGCAGGAGGCCGAGTCTCCAGAGGAGGAGACAGCGGGGCGAGGAGAAGCCGACACGACGCGACAGGAGAAGAACGAGGAGGGGGCAGAGAGGAGGCCCAGCAGAATTCCATACCCCGTCCTGCCTGGCGGCCGCTGGAAAGGCAAATCGCACCCGCCACATGGGAAAATCGACGGCTGAATTCATACCCCGCCCCGCCTGGCGGCGACTGGTTTAGTGAGGAGGGCATGCGCAAGAGACTAGACCGCACGCTTCAAATACGCAGTAGTGACACACGCACACAAAAACATGTTGGCGGTCGCGGCCTCGCGCGCAGCGACGAGGCGAAGCTGGTCGGTCAGAGGGGTGACTGGACGCGCGCGCGGCTGGCCTCTCAGAAGATGGGGCAAGGACCCACAGGGATCGACCACGCCATGCGCAATACTCGCCCATGGGCAGCGAGGGTGGGGAGGGCGGTTACGCTTGACACACACACACACACATATCAAACTTTTGGGGCGATCGCGGCAGCGCGCGCCACGACGAGGCGGAAAGCATCTCCAAGCGGCCAGAGCGCGCGCGCGGCAGGCCGTTTGGGGCGGGGATCCAAACAGGATCGACCATGCCGTGCGCATACCCGGGCATTGGCAGCGAGGGTGAAGGGGCGCAGGATGGCGCCTGCCGAAGAGGCACTACGACTGGGTGCGCAGCGTGGCCGGGCGGCCGAGACAAAACGACGAGTGAGGTGGGCCAGTAACCGACCGTACAAAGAGGCCGAGGCGACACACACACACACACACACACTGGGGACACCCAAAACGTCCCGATCCGCAGCTCAGACGGTCCTTTCGCCGCATCGCCAACGGCAGGATAGGCTGCTCAGGTTGTCGCGGAGCGCAGAGGCTACTCGTGACGCAGCATCCGGACGCCAGCAAATTGCGCGCAACTGGTACAGGGCGACCAGATCATACGGATGCGCGGAACAAGCATACTGAGCCCTTGGACGCCCAGAGAGGAACTGAAGCTGAAAGACCGCGCCCCATGGCCAAGGGCTAGGACGGGCCGAGGGGGCAGGGACGCAAGGGTACCCTTGGGAGGTTCCTCGCACGTGCGAATGTCCCTCACTGTGTAGACACGAAAAGTGGACCACCGCCACCGAGAGAACCCATCGGGAAGGGCCGGCCGCTGGGCGGTGGCACGCTGAGCGTCGTCCTCCATTGGGTAACGCTCGGGCGTGCCGCCGCCCAGGGTCCGGCCCTCCCCGATGAGTTCTCGGTGGCTGTGGCCCCTGCTTCTCCTCCGAACTGTGAGGCCCACCCGGCGGCCGAAAGCTGTGAAGAGCATTCCGGCGTGGCCCCTCCACACCGCCGACATGGCCCAGGGCACACCCCACGGGGCCGGGGTGCCTGCGTCGGGGGTCAGGGCCGACCCGCCCCCACCCCGATGGAGCACCCGAACGACCAGGGGGGAATGCCAAGTGAGAATCGTTGAACCGATCCTCATACCCACTGGCGCTTCACGGGGCCTATCCCAACTTAGGACTGGCTGGAAGGCCGAGGAACAGTGGCCACCTGGGGATGGGAACAGGTTGGTCGCAACGGCGGCGAACGCGCACCGCGTCCGTGGCAGAAGCGGGGGGTCAACTGGTCGCAAGCGGGAGAAGAAGATCATGCACTCGGACGCGGCCGCGGGAAACCCTGTCAAAAAAAACACAGCCCTGACACCTCGCACACGGATGCAGCGTGGGGGAAACGCAGGGCTCCGCGCACGCAGCAACTTAGCAACTTCGTTGGCGGCCGCGGGAAATCAACACGCAACGCCCGAAGGGAAACCCGAGATCGCCTTACAAACCGCATCAGGTTTTCTGATGCGGGGCACCAGCCCCGCTGCTAAACAAAACAAGCAGCAAACACCAAGCAGGCTCTTCACGCAGGAGTGTAAAAATACCCACACCGCTGCTCCCCGGACCTCTCTTGGGGCCCGGTCTGACCACAACTTCGACCTCGAGGCGATTTCAACCGTGGCAACGAGGGACGGGAAGGGGTATCGGCATCCATCCCTCCTCTGAACCACGCTGCTTCCTCCAGCGGCGAAATGGATGTCACCGTCGTGACGCGCTAAGCCGGGACATGATCGGAAAAAAAACCTGCAAGACCTATTGGCAGACGTGGTCCATGGCGTTTCTTTTCCAGCTTCCTAATATAACCTTGTGGATGCCACGACTGTGGACACTCTAACAATCCGACCACTGAATCAAATCTGTGTTTAACACGTAGGAAAAATGTCCTGAACAGGTCTTAAACATGTTTTTACAGGTTTAAACATGTTTAAGACATGTTTTAGACATCTGGAAATTATTTGGCAGCATGCTTCCTCTCCATTGATCGTCCTCCACAATCCTAACGTAACCTCTCTGCCGACACTCTCTCCTGGACTTCGCCGCTCCCTGCAGTGCCCTGTACGCCCCCATGCAAAAACAGAGAAAAAACGTGACCCACTCAATACCACTCAAACACACCCCTACTGACATCATGCAGACACCCTGCAAAGAGTCTGCAAAGGCCCTGCAATACCTTGCAATCTCCTGCATTGCCCCGCAATGCCCTCCCCCCCCCTTGGGTCTGGACAGGGGGGGGGGAGAACAGGTATTTGCAGCGTGGGGGATGGCTCAAGATCCCAACCCTCTGAGCAGAGAAAAGGTTGAGGAAGTTTCCTCTTCCACCCCCATGTTTATCCTTCGGGGAGCGGTCATCACTGTTCCCTTTTAATAAACACCCCCTCCCCCCCCCCGACCGTCAGCCAACCCGAACCCATGCGGGCACTCACGAAGCCCCCATCCTCCATTCCCAAGAGGATTTCACAGAAAGGATCCCTGGGGATTCTTCAGATTCTTGTCGATTTGATGACGGCCCCTAAGGATGTCCTGCGGACTCGCGAAGACACCTGCGGATGTCTTACAAATCCAGAAGATCCCACCCAGTCTTCAAAGGACGCACGAAAGTTCCCGACGGTTACCAGAGATTCCGGAGGAATCCTGCGGACCCTTTGGATTTTGCACGAATCCTACAAGAATCCTCGCGGACCCCTACAAATTCCTGCCGACTCGGCAGAGATCTCTGATGGATCCGCCAGGATCTTCTGGACTCCCGAGAATTCCCCGAGGATTCCTCTGGGGCCCCACACGATCCAGAGGATTCGGCTGGATTCGAAGATTCGTGGGGATCCACGCGGATTGCTTTCACGAGTCCTGAAAGTTCCTGCGGGCTCCTGAATGAGGATGCCTGAGGATAACCAATGGGTCCCGAAAGACAGAATTTGATTTGGGCTTCCCCGGGCCCTCCTGGGGTCTCCCAGACCCTAGAAGACGTTTTGGAGCCGTCTCGGGGGGCGCCTAATCAATCCGAAGCATGTGTTGGAGCGCCTCGAACGCACGTGGGGCCGTCTTGGAAGACGCGGAATTCCCGCGTCGTAGGTCAACGTAACACTGAATTCTAACGGCGCGCTGTGTTCCCCTGAGAGACGCCACTGGAACTTCCACTGCCAAGATGGTATCGCCGCCACTGCTCCGTTGCTCCTACGCGTCGGGACCTCGCCCGTTACCGCTCCGTGGTCTGTTCCTCTCATCGGGGTCTCACCCGCCCCGCTGGGATCAGACCCCGTCGCGGCCCTGGGGCCTGGGCGCGCGGGCCTGGCCCAACGCGCAAATCCCACGGCCCAAATGCGTGCGGACGGGGCCCCGGGGCCAGAGGCCCAGGCGCCTCAAACCAGCGCGCACTGCAGGGCCCATGCCCCGGACCCGTCGCCCAAAGCCCTGGGCAGCCCCAAGTCCCGCGCCCAAAGCCTGCGGCCCCTGGCCCTCACACGTGAATCCCACATGCCCCACCTCACCCGAAACCTCAAGCCCCGGCAAACAAAAAAAGATCCTGGCGAAGGACCCAACCAAATGCAGTTGTAGGTGCCGCAGCTTCGAGCATCGTCGCCAGAGGCGCTCCCTATGGGGCCACAAACCGCGAGAAGGGGGTGCCGATGTGACGAAGGGGGCATTTCAATGCCGCCACTGGGGTTTTCGGTGGAGCTTCCTACGGGGCCGCGAAACGTGAGAGGGGCGTGCCGAAATGACGGGCGGGGACGCTTGCGAACGCCACCACTGGGGCCTTTGGTGGAATTCCCTATGGGGCACGGAAACACGTGGGGGGTGCGGGTGCGCCGAAATGACGGGCGGGGACGCATGTGAACACCGCTACTGGGGCTTTCGGTGGAACTCCCTGTGGGGCCGCGAAACGTGCGAGGGGTGTGCCGGAGTTGGTGGCGAGGACGCACGTGGACACAATCATGGTGGCCGTCGGGGCACCCCTTATGGGGCCACGGAACGTGCGAGAGGTGCGCCGACATGGCTGGCGGAGACGCTTGCGAACACTGCCACTGTTCGGTGGAGCTCCCTGTGGGGCCACGACGCGCGCGAGGGGTGCGCCGAACTCTGTGGGGGGGGACGCATGTAGACACCGCCACTCGGGCCTTCGGTGGAGTTCCCTATGGGGCGACGAAGCGTGCGAGGTCTGCGCCGACATGGGTAGCGGGGGTGCATGTGGACACCGCCGATGGGGCCTGCGTTGGATCCCCCATATGGGGCCGCGAAACGTGCGGGGCTTGTGCTGAAATAACGGGCGGGGACGCGTGTGGGCACCGTTACTGGGGCCTTCGGTGGACCTGAGGTATAACCCCCTTTGTGGGGCCACGAAACGTGCGAGGGGTGTGCCGTCATGGGCGGCTGGGATGCATGTGGACACCGCCACGGGGGCCTTCAGTGGAGCCCCGTATGGGGGCACGAAACGTGTGAGGGGTGTGCCGACATGACAGGCAGAGACGCGTGTGGACACCGCCACTGGGGCCTTCGGTGGAGCTCCCTACCGTCCAAAACCCGGATAGCGGAGCGCCTGGGTTTCAAAAACCTCTGAAAGGAGCTCTGAAATCGCTTGCCACGAAACGCGCGTAGAGTTCGCAGACATGGGCGGCGGGGGCGCATGTGATCACAGCCAGTGGGGCCTTCGGTGGAGCTCCCCGTGGGGCCACGAAGCGCGTCAGGAATGCGCCGATATATGCGGCGGGGGCGCATGCGATCATAGCCACTGGGGCCTTGGGGCCGCAAACGTGCGAGGGGCGTGCAGAACTGGGTGGCGGGGACACATGTGATCACAGCGACCGAGGCTTCAGGGTGGAATCCCTACGGGGCCACGGAGCGCTGCACTGGGTGAAGAAGGCAGAGGCAGGAGTCGGAGAAGGAAGGATGGGGGAAGGAAAAAGGAAAGGAACACGCGGCGGTGTCTCTTCAAAACGAAGACACAGCACCAAAGGATGATTGGGACTTCGATACCAAGTATTATAATAATGCAGCAAGCACACCACGATTCCTCAAACGAAATGTATGTTGATTAACGTTGATGACATCAGACTACCGCATACGAGCCGCGAAACTGTAACCAAGTTGGAATAATGCAGCTGTTAAGGATTGAGCGTATCTGGTTGTGTGCGGATGATGGGGCACCAAATCTTTCAATCAAGTTGCAGCTCTATAGAATCGAAGACCGATTAACGACTCGGCATGTGAATTTATATGTGTCGACGATGAACACTCAATATGTTATTGTACAGTCGCATTTCGAATGCGAATATGCATGTTCCTGGTGTCCAAAAGAAGATGCACGATATCGTACACCCCTGGGGGTGAAAACACGCGATACATAGGTACACACACTAATAAACATACAAATACATCTACATACTAGAACCACGCGCGCGCTTCGCGCGCGCTTAGGTTCTAGCGCAGGCTAGGGAAGAATTACAACAGATTGGGATCCTCTACCCTGTTCTCCGCCTCCAAGCGGCCTCCAAGACGGCCCCAAGAAGCACCGAAGAGGTCGGAAGTGAGGGGGTGAGATCCCAGTGGAACGGAGAGCCCCCCACCAGGAAATGGGTTTCGGTTTCGGGTTCGTGTCGTGCGTGCGGGCGAGGCGAAGCTACGTGAGCGGGCGAGAAGAATAGTTCCGCTGTGGCTAGGGTGGGTCAAGAGCCGTTGACCGCCCCATCCACCTGGTGGTCCAGCGTTGGCCAAGGTTGTCCCGCCGTCGTGTCCCGGCGGTTTCCCGTCGGTGTCCCAGTGGTGTCCCGGAAGGGGCTCGTATGGGGCCCTCGAAGGCCGTCCCGGAGCGCTATTGGGCAGACTTGGGAGGCTGGGGCCGTCTTGGGGCTCTCTTTTTTTTTTTTGCTCGTCGCTGCGCTGCAGTGCCTGTTTCGTTACTGCCTGTTCTGGCCTCGGCCCCGCGGCCACGGAATACTCGCCGACCTGGCAGGGCGTCGAAGCAACAAAAATAACGCTTTGCAGAGCGTCCCGGGCCGCGCCGAGGTGCAGTGGCTGCTACGGAAAACCCTTGGAGCTGCTCCCAACATCCGCGTGCTTTGCAGGCGAGTACATCGAGGACTGGATAGCCTGAGCACGTGCAGGGATATCACATTAATGATATGGAAGCTCGGCCGACCGACATTTTTCTGTGGCGGCTGGCGGAAAATCATGAAAAGGATGAATACACGATTGCCCTGGTCAGGCGTCGCCTGGAGTGACCGATGCCGAGTATGCCTGGGCACGCTTGCGGTCCATCACGGTGTGCGCGATGAACCAAGGGATAGTGATTCCGACCCCCGGCAGAAGGGTGAAGACGCCGAGGCATGCACCCAAGATCTGCGTGAGAATGTTGTGATCTTTTGAGAACTCGACGTAGTCCCACTTCGCCCCCCTGATCAGTGCGCCCAATATGAACGTGCCGTTGACTGCATAGCCAACCTGGGTGATGTGCTCGAAGAAGAAAGTGAACCTCCCGTGGACAACGTAAAAGAGAGGATACAGGATTCGGCCAATGATATACAACACGCCAAGGGTCCAAGCCGTCTCGTAATCAACGAGCCCTGCGTACATCCACAGACACGGGATGAAAACAAAGCTTTGCTCAAACTGGTTGCCCGCGAAACGCGAGGCGTTCGCTCACCACTTCTCTGTCTGCTTCTTCCCGTCGAGCATGGCCCAAGGGCCTGAGAGGAACACGCCCAGAACCTAAGCGCCCACGTAGTTGTAGTAGATGATGCATCATACGGCCTGCACGATCATCGTCTTGCCGAAGGCATCAACAACTTGCTCGGGGGTACCTGCCCCCAGTGCAGGTCCCTTCGGGGTGACGAAGTTAAAGAACAAGGTGGTCGAGATGCATGCCGACGCGAACCCCGTGAATATCATGATTGTGTTGAAGTCGCCCTCGAAGGGCAGCTTCATGCAGCCGAGGTCCAGGATCATGGCGTCGACCCCGCGGTACCGACTGGCTTGAACGAGCAGCAGCTAGTGCAATGCCTTGCTTGGCCTAGCCTGGAGCAAAAACGGCTTGAGCCAAAATGGCTACGGACCGTCTTGGGGCTCTCTTGGGAGCCTTTTGGGCCCTTTGAGGCCGCTCTTGGGCCGTCATGGGGCTCTCTTGGGCCGTCTTGGTGTTCTCTTGGGCCGTTTTGGGGCCCTCTTGGGGCCTCTGGGGCCGACTTGGGAGGATCTAGGGGGCTTCTTGGGACGTCTTGGACGCTCTCGAGATCAAACAAACGAACATGCTAAAAATGCACGTTTTCCGAAGGGAATGTGCCGATTTTTGCTTCGTGGGGGTCCTCGTTGGGGCCTTTTGGGGCGTTTTCGGGGCCTCTTGGGCCGTCTTGAAACCATCTAGGGCACTGGGAAGTCATCTTGACCAGTCCTGGGGGCCCTCTGTGGCGCTTTCGGGTGCTCTTGGCAACCTCTTGGGCAGTCTGGAAGCCATCGTGGGCGCTCTTGGAGCGTCCCAAGGGCTGCCTTGAGCGGCCGGGGAGCGGCCGAGGAGGCCCCAGGGGGGGGTGGACCCAGATTGGGGGTTCGAGGCCGTGGTTTCCGGGCCCGGATTTCCTTCCCCGGGTAGATGTATATGAATATATATATATAGAGAGAGAGAGGGAAAGGAAATAAAAAACAAAAAAAAACAAACAAAAAAAAAAGCAAAACATATATATATATATATATATATATGTGAAGGAAGAGAGGAAGGAAAAAAAAAAAAAAACGACCTGTTCGCCAGCGTGGACACCGAACAGTAGCTTCTTGCAGTCAGCGCGGTGCAACACACAAGGTGCAACGTATGCGATGCAACCTGTGTGGTGCAGTCTACGCGGTGCAATAAATCAATTGCTCAACTTGAAGCTGTCCTCTCCACTGCCCGTGCAAACATCCCACACCTCTCACCCGCAACTTGGTCGCAAGACCTCTTAAGACCGTGACGTTAGGTACCAAATGGCACTTGGCAACGACACCGACGCCGACGACGACAACGACGACACGACGACGCCGACACCGACTGCGACGACACCGACGTCTCCAACGACCTCGACGACAACAACGACGACGACGACGACACCGACGACGACGACGCCGACGACGACGACAATGACAAAGCCGACGACGACGACGCCCACGACGACGACGACGCCGACGACGACGACGCCGCCGCCTACGACGACGACGACGAAGACGACGACGACGACGACGTCGCCAACGAAGACGACGACGACGAGAGAGGACAACGGCGACAACGACGACAATGACGAGGGAGGGCGGAGGACGGCGACGACGCGAACGACGAAGAAGGAGGGAGGACGGCGACGCCGACGACGACAACGACGAGGGAGGAGGGAGGACGACGACGACGACGACGACGACGACGACGGCGACGAAATAGGAGGGACGACGACGAGACGCCGACGACGGACGACGACGACGACGTGGGAGGAGGAAGGACGACCACGGCGACAACGACGACGGAAACGACGACGACGCCAAAGAGGACGACGACGACGACGACGACGACGAGGAAAGACAGAGGACGACGAGGGCGGCGACGACGACGACGACGAGGGAGGAGGAAGGACGGCGACGACGACGACGACGCAAGAGCGCGCGCGCACGCTTTTGTTGAAAACCCATGTTGCAAAACTATGTGTTTGTATGAATTTCGGACACTCGATTTTGAAACCCTTCTGGAATCAAAGGTTGTTTAAGGATTTCGGCATGCGCGCGCGACGACGCGCGCGCGCGTGCGATTCGTCACATGTGTTGCAGAGGATTTTCGCGACGGGACGCGCGCAGGGGCGTTCGAAAGATTTCGACATGCGTGCACAAAGCCCGTTGAGGCATATGGCTTGATAAGTTCACCACACAAAACGATTGGCTTCCGTAAGATTTCGCAAGAGCGCGCAATTTTTTGTTTGTCCCTGCGCCCCCCCTTCCCTCCCCGGCCACCCCTCTGGACAGGGAGGGCAAAGGGGGTGTCCCACCTGCGGGGGGGAGGTCCTGCAGGCAGCCCCCCCGTCTGGGGTCCAAGCGGGTCTGGGGGGGGGTCGCCAGCTGGAGTCACGGGTCCCGGGTCCCGGGGGGGGGGGGGGTCGGCTCTGGGGGTCCCACGGGAAGTCTTGTGGTGTGGGAGGGTGGCCCCAGGTTCGAATACGGCCCTCCCTGGGGTCCCGGCGGGTCCCGGCGGGGGCGCCGGCGGGGGTCCTTCCAAGGTCGGTGGCACCGGCCGCAAGGCCTTCATAATACACGTTGCCTGCAAATCCAGAGCATGCGCGACGCCCCGCGACCACTTGGCATGGTTTCTTCACGGGGACGGCGAGAATGCCCGCACATTGCTTGCTGCGCGCAGGCCAACCATCCCTGTCAAATTATCCTGGCGAAGGGCCCAACCATATGCGGGTGTGAGTATCGCCATTTTGCGTATCGCCTTGGGTGGATCTCCATCGCCAACAAGGGTGTGCCGACATTGGGCGGGGACGCATGCGGGCGCAACCACCTGGGCCTTCGGTGGCGATCCATATGGGGCCACGAAAAGTGTGAGGGTTGTTCCGACATATGCGCGGAACGCATGTGGACGCAGCCGCTGGGGCCTTCGGTGGAGCTTCGTATGGGGCACGAAACGTGTGAGGGCTGCGCCAACATGCGCGCGGGACGCATGTGGACGCAGCCACTGGGCCCTTCGACGGAGCTCCCTGAGAGGCCACGAGCCGTGTGAGGACTGTGCCGACATGGGCACGGGATGCATGTGAACGCAGCCACTGACTGGTGCCTTCGGTGGAGCTCCCTATGGGGCCACGAAACGTGTGAGGGGTATGCCGAAATGGGCGCGGGACGCATGTGGACGCAGCAACTAGGGCCTTCGGTGGAGCTCCCTATGGGGCCAAGAAACGTGTGAAGGCTGTGCCGACATGGGCGCGGGACGCATGTGGACGCAGCCACTGGGGCCTTCGGTGGAATTCCCTATGGGGCCACGAACCGTGTGAGGGGTGTGCCGAAATGGGCGCGGGACGCATGTGGACGCAGCCACTGAGCCCTTCGGTGGAGCTCATTTGGGGACCCCGAACCAAGTGAGGGCGTGCCGAAATGGGCGCGGGACGCATGTGGACGCAACCACTGAGATCTTCGGAAAAGCTCCCCCATGGGGCCACGAACCGCTTGAGGGCTGTGCCAGCATGGGCGCGGGATGCATGTGAACGCAGCCACAAGTGCCTTCGGTGAAGCTCCCGATGGGACCACGAAACGGGTGAGGGGTGTGCCGAAATGCGCGCGGGACACGTAAACGCATCCACTGGGGCCTTGAGAAAAACTCCCTATGGGGCCGCGAACCGTGTGAGGGCTGTGCCGACATGGGCGCGGAATGTATGTGAACGCAGCCACAGGTGCCTTCGGTGGAGCTCCCGATGGGGCCACGAAATATGTGACGTGTGTGTGCCGAAATGCGCGCGGGTCACATGTGAACGCAGCCACTGGGGCCTCCGGTGGAGCTCCCTATGAGGCCGCGTGACGTGTGACGGGTGTGCCGAAATGCGCGAGGGACGCATGTGGACGCAGCAACTGGGGCCTTCGGAGGAGCTCCCTAAGAGGCCGCGAAACGTGAGACGGGTGTGCCGAAAAAGGGCGCGGGACGCAATTAGACGCAGCAACGAGGGCCTTCGGTGGAGCTCCCCATGGGGCCACGAACGGTGGCCGAGATGGGTGATGGTTATGATAATGATGCTGATGATGATGATGATGATGATGATGATGATGATACTGATAATGATAATGATAATGATGATGATGATGATGATGATGATGATGATGATGATGATGATGATGATGATGATCCTGATGATTATGATTATGATTATGATGATGATGATGATGATGATGATGATGATGATGATGATGATGATGATGATGATGGTGGTGATGATGATGACACCGACGACGACGGAGACGACGACGACGAAGACACGCGAAGGGCAGAGGCAGGTACGGAAGGGGAAAGACAGAGAAGTGAGAGGAGGAGGAGTGAGGAGGAACGCGGGGCGCTCTCTTCACAATCAAGACCCAACACCATACGATTGTTGAAATAAACCCTGAAAATGAACTTCGCCTCCAAATTTAGGGCATGCGCGGTCGCCCCGCGACAACTTTGCAATGGTTTGTCACATGGACGGCGGGGGTGCCGACACATGGCGTGCTGCGCGCATGCTAACCGTCCCTGCCAAAAACAACACAACTTCACTCTGCCACGCCACGTTGCGCACCTGGCTCGGCTGGAGGACGTGGCACGCTTGCCGCACGTGGAGCACGTGGCGCACCTGGCGCTCCTGGCACGCTCGGGCCTCCGGGGTGCCTGGTGCACCTGGAACCCGTGGCGATCACGGAATGTGTGGCGCTCCTAGCCGATATGCTGAGACTCGGGTGCTGGGAGAGCGGGTGGGAGTGAGCGAGACGGCGTGTGCCGTGTGGGTAGGAGGTGTCTTGATCACGGCTCCCCACTGTAATAATCAACACCCCCTCCCCCACTCGACCGACATCCAACCCAGACCTTGTCAACAAAAACTACACAACCTACAGTTTGCCACCAAATCTGGAGCACGCGCGGGCACCACGCGATCACTTTGTACTGGTTAATGGCAGGGGCGGTTGGGGTACCAGCATGCTGCCTGCGGCCCAACACCTCCCCAACATCCCTCGACCCCCCCCCCCCCCCAAAAAAAATGCACGTTGCATCAACATCTGCATCATGCGCGGACGCCTCGCGATCACTTCGCATGTGTTGTTGGCCAGGGGTGGCTGGCGGGGGAAACAGATTCCCAGCTGAGCGCAATGTCAGCCCCCTCAACCATCCCTTGCACATAAAACAATACAAAATACACTTTGCACCAACATCTGGACCATGCGCGCTCACGCTGCATTGGGTTGGTGACCAGGATGGCACATGCTGCCTGCTGCGCGCAAGCCCACCAAATGAATGCAGAACGATTACGGTCGCAAATCCGCACCCCGCAAGCCAGCCGTCACTGTGCAATGGTTTTTGAAAGGAACGGTGAGAGGGTCGAAAGGTTGTCCAATGTGGCGCGCATGGCGCATGGCGCAGCTGGCATGTGCGGCGTACCTCGCAGGTTTCGCGCACCTGGCTGACGTCTCCATCGGATCCTAATGGTTGTCCATCGCGGCCTGTCAATGCTGAGACTCGGGAGCTACTCCTATGTTGGGGCTGGGCGGGCGGGGGATGAGCGAGACGGCTTGTTACGGGCAGCTTGACCCCTCCCCCTGCGCCCGTCCCCTGGACCCGGATGGGGGGCTTCGCGAGCGGCCAGAGTGTGAAAGGAGGCGTCGGCTAGGAGGCACACATCAGTGACTGCACTGAGGTCAATATCCGATGCCAGCCTCCTTGGGGGGGGGGGCTGCTCTAGTTAGAACCCCGCCACATTTCCCTTTTGACCGATCTCCTCCAAGATGGCCCCAAAATGACCCAAGGCTACCAAGAGCGCCCTGAGTGGGCTCAAATAGCTTACGGGAGGCCCCCAAGAAGCCCCCAAGAGATACCCTTAGGGGCTAACAAGAGAGCCCCGAGAGGCTCCAAGAGGCTCCCCCAAGACACCAAAGAAAACACTCCAAGATGCCCCTGGGAGGCCCAAGAGGACTTCAAGTAGCTCTTAAGAGACATCCGAAGACACTGCGCGAGGCATCCAAGAGGCTTCTAACATTTCTGATCGCCCTTATTATTATCCTCGTCCGCCTGCTTCTCCTCCTCCGTTTCCTTATCTTCCTCATCAGCCTATTCCTTCTTCTCCTCCCTCCTCCCCATCCCCCTCCTCCTCCGTCGGCACCCTGCAGGGTGGGCCCTTTCCCAAATCCGCTCAACGATGTGCTGTTTAACCGAACCTGCAGGGTGGGCCCTTTCCCAAATCCGTGCTTCGGTGCGGATCGTAAGCGCGCCTCGTCTCCGTCGTCGTCGTCGTCGGCGTCGTCGTGGTCGTGGTGCGTGTTGCTCTGCTCGGGATTCTGTTTCCCTTATGCAGTGACCACCACCACCACCTCCTCCTCCGTCTCCTCCTCATCCATCCGCCTAGATTCCTAATCCTGTCATGGTCCCTTTTATCCCTGATCAAGGCAACTCGCCTGATTCTCGTTCCTGGATGGGCTGGTTGGGTTACGCGCAGCGTCTAGGACCTCCACATGGAGCAGATGGTGACTGGACAGGGGGCAGCCCCATGCCGAACAACCATAGAAGCGGATGCACGCAGAAGGGGCCGAAGCGCATGCAGTGCAATACGAAGGAAGGGCAAGGCCGACGGGCACAGTGGCCGTCGAATGCCGCAGGTCACGATGAAGGCGCAGCACGGACGCCAGCATAGGTCGGGACGGGCGAAATGGGGGGATAGCAAAGGGGGGGGTTGAGAATCAGCTCACGTAGCTGATTTTCCCAGCGCCTCCCGGCGCCAGAGGCGCCCATGTGTCGAGGAGTGGGCCCGGCGGTGGGGCCGAAACCAGCTGCATGCAGCAGATTTCGTAACCCCTCCTTTCCCAATCCCCCCCTTTCGTCCGGCCCGAGACGAGGTGACACGCTCCCCGCCGGCTGCAGCAGGTGCAACCTCGACGTTCTGCACACACACACACACACACACAAACAACAAAGGCACAAACCGTACCGACGCGGCGCAAACCCTGCCCCAGCAAGCTGCCCACGCGGGCGCGCGCGCCCGTGCGGCCGGGAACGTGGAGAGGGTTGCCGCCAGCGCCGTAGCCTCCGAGGACCCCTCGTCCTCGGCCTGCCAATTCGTGGTCGACACCTACGGGGGCGTGCCGGGCGGGGCACAGACTCGATGCGTTAGCCGACAGCGCGCCGTGGGGGGACGTGAAAGCGGACAGGCCTTTTCAAAAGGCGGCTGGGCTTCCAAGAGGCCCCACGCCTTCGGACAATCCTTTCAGAAAGCTATGTCAGAAGGCTGGAAGCCGTAAGGCCTGCGCCCACTCTGCACTCTCCCTGGGCGCGCAGCCTGGTGCTTAGCGCCCCATACTCGATGATCCTCCATGTGTGCGCTAGACTCGATGTGTGAGCGCCACCCCACCCAGACTCGAGGTGCAGCGCCCGGCAACCGGAGCCTCGCCGGAAAAAATCGAGGCGGACTCAGGGAGCGTCAGAACAGAATCTGGGGTGAAAGTGTCGAGAGGTCTGGCACAGTCTGGGGGGCAGCGCATCAACAAAAACAGAGGGTCCAATATCTGGAAGGGATTTGTCTTAATGACAAGAAGCGGCACCAACATTCTTGGAGGTGCAAGCGAATTCTCTTGGCACGCAAAGCGCGCCGGGGGCGGCGCAAGAGGCGCCGCCAAGGGGGGCCAACGACGACGACGACTCAAGATATCCGCGTGAACCTCTGAGCGTTTGCATGTGTTTGCCTTATGCAGTTGCTTTATGCTCGGTGTTTGGCGCTTTGGACAGCCTAGGCCTCTGCACCCACGCAAGGCACGCCACGCAAATCCATACACAGACAACCAGGGAAGGTGCGCGGTGCATGAATACAATTGCTTTTAGCGACGATGCGTGCACCGCAACCCTCTCCTCAGGCCCAGGAGCGCAGTCCACTGGGGTGCGTCTTTGTACATACGTTTGTAGATTCGAGACAGATGTTCGGTTCGAGTCGGACCGTGCTTCGGATCGAACCTGCCCCTGCTCTTGTGGCGGATCAGTGGGCCTGCGGGACGCCCTCTGCGGCGACGTCTGCGAGGAGGCCTGCATCCCTGACCCCCCGCGGCTCACAGGAAACAAAAAAGAATGTGCATCAGCTCCTCCTCCTCCTCCTCCTCCTCCTCCTCCTCCTCCTCCTCTTCCCCCTAAGAAAATCGGGGAGGCCAGTCTCGCCACTCTGAGCGTCCATAGGGCCCCTTTCGGCGGGCCATCGATGGGGCCTCGACGGCCAGGGCCAGGAAGACGAGGGCAGGGGCAGTTCGCCACCCTGAGCCTCCCCTGGCCTTACAGAGTGCTTAGAAAGAGCCCTCGAGATGTATAGACCGATCCAGACTGCTTACCCAGGCTCGACTGGAACACACATTTCGGGGGCGCGCAAACATGGATCAACGATCCATGGATTTGGCGCGCGCTCGCCAAATCCATGGATCGGGGGGGGTGCCCTTCCCCAAATGCGGTCTGTGCCGCCTGGCTCGGCGACGGAAATCCGCGATTTCCAATGGAAACGGGACCCGTCGCTAATCCACGCCCACTTAATCCCTGTTTGCGATCGCCTGAACATTCAGAAGACCTGGCGCTAGACTTAGTCGTGCTTCCCCCTGGAAGCTCAGGGGGGGTCGGTCGACGGGACCACCCGGCGAAGAGTCGCTCCCTTAGGTGCACGGTCGGTTCGTGCCGCGTCGACGCAGCAACGATCCCCCGCGCGGGCGCTCGAAGCTGAACGATCCCAGGGGCCCAGAAACGGCTGGCATCCAGCGGACCGCCCTAGCAGAGAGCCGCGACCGCTCAAGGTTGAGCGGTCCACACGGTCTTACAAACCGGCGCCGACGTCGTTACATGGGACAACAGCGAAGGAACCAATTCGTGGACATTCCCCCGTTCCCCCTAACTCGAAGTTGGAACGCGCGGGGAAGACTCCGTTAGCTCGTTCAACCCACCACCAACATTGACCATTGGGGGCATTGACAGATGAATGCGGCACGAGTGTTCGCAAATTTCTTCCGAGGCCTGGATGCACGACAGTAAAGGTTATCCGAAATCGGCAGCGGCCACTGTTGGGCAGGCGACTCTTTCTGCCCCACGCCCTCAGCGACGACGATAGCGAATCCTGTTCAAAATTAGCAAAGACTGCGGCTCGTCTTCGTCTCGGTTCTGCCCGCCCCCAGTTCGATCGCACCGAATGCAGGAAGTGTCAGTTGGCCCGCTGGGAGGCGAAGCCAGGCGCGGCCAGCGTCGCTCCGTCGGGCCGTGGCGCCGTATGCCCGCAGTCTTGCTCCTCGGGGGCTCCCCGGACCAACCAGCCTGAAACTCGGGCCGGGCAAAAGGGGGGGATAGCGTCTAGGACCTCCACATGGAGCAAATGGTGACTGGACAGGGGGCAGCCCCATGCCGAACAACCATAGAAGCGGATGCACGCAGAAGGGGCCGAAGCGCATGCAGTGCAATACGAAGGAAGGGCAAGGCCGACGGGCACAGTGGCCGTCGAATGCCGCAGGTCACGATGAAGGCGCAGCACGGACGCCAGCATAGGTCGGGCCGGGCAAAAGGGGGGGATAGCAAGAGAATCAGCTCTCGTAGCTGATTTTCCCAGCGCCTCCCGGCGCCAGAGGCGCCCATGTGTCGAGGAATGGGCCCGGCGGCGGGGCCCGGAGGGGCGAAATGGGGGATAGCAAAGGGGGGGGGTGAGAATCAGCTCACGTAGCCGATTTTCCCGGCGCCTCCGCCCATGTATCGAGGAACGGGCCCGCGGCGGGGCCAAAACCAGCTGCACGCAGCAGATTTCGTAACCCCCCCTTTCCCTATTGCCGCCCTTTCGGTCGGCCCGAGACGAGGTGACACGCTCCCGCCGGCTGCAGCAGGTGCAACCTCGACGTTCTGCACACACACACACACACACACACACCCTTTCGGTCGGCCTGAGAAACCTGGGGGAACAGAAAGGTACTGATACCGCTTCTCCCCGGACCTCTCTCGTGGAGCGTCGTCTGACCAACATCTCGAAGAGGATGCAGCCGTGGCGACGAGGGCTTCCCAGGGGGCCCAAAGAGGCGAACACGAGGGGAGGGTAGCGGTATCGGAACCGCTTCCTCCTCTGAGGGACGAAAAGTCTCTGACTACCCGCCAAGCCAACCCAATCCAACACGAAGTCGCCTTTGGGCGAGCAAGTTCCATCGGGAGGCCGCTCTGGATACACCGAGAATGCACAGCGTGGAACCCGTCAACCGCCCAGTCAAGAATTCGGGAGGGTCTGGGACCTTCGGGTCGGGTCAGGATGGTTTGGCAAGTCGTCAAACTCAGGTCAACGCCGGCCCCGACCTCACGCCACGACGCAGACCTTAAGTCGGGCGTGTCCCCCTACAGGGGGATTTTCAACGAAAAATTAAAAGTACACCAAAAAAATAACCCCCGGAAAATCAAAAAATAGTCTGGGGACTATTTTTTGAGTATTTTTGTTGCCATGTTGGATGTATGTTTGGGGAATGTTTGATTTTTCCTCGAACATCCCCCTGTAGGGTGTAGGGGGACACGGCCGACATAACGCAGACCCGCCGCAATAGTCGAGAGCGGAACGCCCGGGCGACTCGGCGGCCGGGCGACCGGCAGGGCCGTGCCTGGCTGGCACCGGAGCCGACCACCGCGGCGTCCGCTCCTCTCCGTGCGCGTGCGCTCCGCAGCCAGGAGAGTGGCCCAGGGCACTTCCTTCTCAATCATCCTCCCTCCCTGCTCCCTCCTCAAACTCCTCAATCATCCTCCCTCCCTGCTCCCTCCTCAAACTCTCCGTCCCTCCAGCCGTCCCTCCTGCCTCCCCGTCCCTCCAGCAGTCCCTCCTCCCTCCCTCCATCCGCCCCTCCAACCGAATCCTCGTCCTCCATCCTCCCCTCCTCCAGTGCGATCGACCAGGACGGGACATCATCTCGAGTGTGCCTGGGAGCTCCTGGGGCCTCCTGGGGGGGCCTCCGGGGGCTTCCTGGGAGTTCCTGGGGCCTCCTGGGAGGGCCTATTGGGGCTTCCTGGGGGCCTTGCGCCTCACGGTGCTTCCTGGGGCCTCCCGATGCCTCCTGGGGCCTCCCGGGGCCTCCCTGGGCCTCCCGGGACGTGCTGGGGCCTTCTGGCATCTCCAGGACCCAAGGCCCCCCAGAGCCTCCCGCAACCTCCCAGGGCCTCCTGGGATCTCCAGGGGCCCATCGGACCCTCCCTGGGACTGGGACCTCCCACGGCCTGCTGGGACGTCCTGGAGCCTCCTGGTGGGGCTCCCGAATCTCCCGGGCCCGCTGCTCCCGCCCACGGCTCCCCGGCGCCGGGCGCTGCAGAACATGGCATACGCAGACGTCAATCGCTTTTTCTTCAAAACAAAAACACGCGTGCGCACAACACCGCCGCCCTGGATGCACCGAGATGGCTCTGGATTCCTGGACGCATGGGCTGCAGGTACACCCTTCCTGGATCCTCCTGGGGTTTCCTGGGGCCTCCTGGGGCTTCCTGGAGACTCCCGAAGGGGGAGAGGTCGGGGCTCAACCGCAATGGCTCGTCCGAGCCCCCCACCTAGCTCCGCTTCGTTCTCATCATACCTTTCCATCCCCGGTTTTCTGCATATTTGTTTCATCATCATCCTCCGCCTCCTCCTCATCGGAATCACCATCAGCAGCAGCATCATCGTCATCGTCATCGTCATCGTCACCATCACCATCACCATCCTCATCATCCTCATCACCATCATCATCATCATTGTCATCACAACCATCATCAACAACATCATCACCATCAAAATCGTCATCGTCGTCAGCATCCTCAGCATCATCACCATCATGAAGTTTACCCGCATCCGTCATCAGCAGCATCATCATCAACAGCATCATCAGCAACATCACCATCATCACCAACATCATCACCATCATCAGCATCATGAGGTCCAGACCGCGGCCGTGAAGGTTACCCGCATCCGCGCGAAGTGACCCCAAGGCCCGACAAAAAGGCCCTTGACGCCGAAATCCCAGGAACACCCTGGGACCGAACAAAATCGGATCGTCGGAAATCTGGGTCCACGGAGCGTCGGACGACTGGGGAGACCCGCGCGGCAGCGTCCTCCAGGCTGCGCCGAAGAGCCAGCAGGCGTCGGCGACGCCGATGGGGCCTCCGTCGGGTGGCCGCTGGACCACGGGTCCTCTGCGGGGCGCCGCGCGCCGCGGTCTTTCCTTCCTCGCCACCCCCTCCTCTCCCGACCTCCTCCTCCTCCTCCTCCTCCTCCTCCTCCTCCTCCCTCCTCCTCCTCCTCCTCCTCCTCCTCCTCCTCCTCCTCTCCTCCCTCCTCCTCCTCCTCCTCCTCCCCCCTCCTCCTCCCCCTCCCTCCCCCTCCCCCTCCCCCCCCCCCCCCCCCCCCCCCCTTTCGTCCTCCTCCTCCACTCCTCTTCTCAATCGGAAAGGCGGGCCCGCCGTCTCGTCTGAGACGTCCTTGGCACTTGGGAGCCTGAAGCAAGGAGGATAGCATGACAAGGGCCGAACGCACCGTCGCGACTTCTCCACGGGCCCAAGAGCTGCCCGGGGCGCCCGCGAGAAGTCGTGTCGAGGCTGGACCCGCGCTTGCGCTGGGCACGACCGTTGACAAGCGCGGGCCCAGGCAAGGCGGCGGGGGGAGCGCGAGTCGGCGCCACAGAGCCGAGCAAACCCGCTGACGCCTCCCACCTCGCCGAGCACTGGGCCAGCCCATCCTCTTCACAACCAGGAACCACCGCGACGCCGCCGCGCGCGCAGCAGGGTCGGGCGGGCGGGGAAATGCAACCCCCCGAAGCGGAACGGCCAGACGAATCCCAAATTGTGATTACCTGCGCCGCGGACGCGTTCGCGGGCGCGCAGAAGGGGGGATTCGCCTCTGCCAATGTTATCCGTCCCGAAGCATCATATGAGCAAGAAGGATCGCATGACAAAAGCCGAACGCACAGTCGCGACTTCTCCCCGGGCCCAAAAGCTGCCCGGAACGCCCGCGAGAAGTCGCGTCGAGGCTGGGCCCGCGTTTACGAAGGGCACGGCCGTCGACAGGCGCGGGCCCAGGCCAGGCGGGGGGGGGAGCGCGAGTCTGCGCCGCGGAGCCGAGCAAGCTCGCCAACGCCTCCCGATGCACGCTCGGCGGAACAACGCCCAAGCGCGCTCCGTGCAGACTGCAAATGCTTGGTCTGCCCCCCTTCGCGACCTGGGAGACCCCTGCACCGCTTTCACGGCGATCGGCACGTCCTGCGAGCCACGCGCCGCATGGGGGGGCCCGACCCCGATGCCTGCACGGCGGCGCCTCGTCGGAATCGGAGTGCGCGATCTCCGCTTCGGCCGCTAGCACCATGGCCTTAACCCTTCTCCGTGCATGGCTACTTGAGCCAGATGTCCTGCCCACGCTAAACACGGGATACATATAGTATGTGAGCACGCGTGATAGCTTCACGAAGTAAGATGATATTAAATTACTCACTGCGTGGAGCTCCCCATATGTGCATCTCATGTTTTATGTCATGCCGTGGTGAGCGTCTGTTCATGAGCGGTCGACTACAATAGCGCGTCCACGTGGGCGACAGGGCTCCTCCTCCTCCTCCTCCTGTTCCTCCGCCCCCTCCCTTCTCCTGCTCCTGCTCCTCCTCCTCATCCTCCTGCTCCCCCTCCCCCTCCGCACCCCCATGCCCTTCCTCACGATCCCCCGCCTCCTCCTCCTCCTCCTCCTGTTCCTCCTCCTCATCCTCGTTCCTGTCATTTCCCTCCCTGTTGAGCCCAGAAACAAGCGAACCGCCTGAGACATCCCCACAATATGGCCGCGAACGTGCCCGTGCAACCACCCCTGGCGGCTCCCCTTAGGGGTGCTGAAACCAGCGCCCCGCCTGAGACATCCTCACAATCTGCTCTCCAAGCGAAGGATGTTGAGCCCGAAACAGGCAAACCGCCTGAGACATCCCCACCGAAGGATGTTGGCCCAGAAACAAGCAAACCGCCTGAGACATCCCCACAAAATGGCCGCGAACAGCCCGTGCAACCACCCCTGGCGGCTCCCCTTAGGGGTGCTGAAACCAGCGCCCCGCCTGAGACATCCTCACAATCTGCTCTCCAAGCGAAGGATGTTGAGCCCAGAAACAAGCAAACCGCCTGAGACATCCCCACAAAATGGCCGCGAACGAGCCCGTGCAACCACCCCTGGCGGCTCCCCTTAGGGGTGCTGAAACCAGCGCCCCGCCTGAGACATCCTCACAATCTGCTCTCCAAGCGAAGGATGTTGGGCCAGAAACAAGCAAACCGCCTGAGACATCCCCACAAAATGGCCGCGAACGAGCCCGTGCAACCACCCCTGGCGGCTCCCCTTAGGGGTGCTGAAACCAGCGCCCGCCGAGACATCCTCAAATCTGCTCCCAAGCGAAGGATGTTGGGCCAGAAACAAGCAAACCGCCTGAGACATCCCCACAAAATGGCCGCGAACGAGCCCGTGCAACCACCCCTGGCGGCTCCCCTTAGGGGTGCTGAAACCAGCGCCCCGCCTGAGACATCCTCACAATCTGCTCTCCAAGCGAAGGATGTTGGGCCCAGAAACAAGCAAACCGCCTGAGACATCCCCACAAAATGGCCGCGAACGAGCCCGTGCAACCACCCCTGGCGGCTCCCCTTAGGGGTGCTGAGTATGAGTAAGTCTGTGTATGAGTAAGTCTGTGTATGAGTAAGTCTGGGTATGAGTAGGTCTGTGTATGAGAAAGTCTGTGTATGTGTACGTCTGGGTATGAGTAAGTCTGAGTATGACTGATACTGTGTATGAGTAAGTCTGGGTATGAGTGAGTCTGTGTATGAGTACGTCTGGGTGTGAGTAAGTCTGTGTATGAGTAAGTCTGTGTATTGGTATGTCTGAGTGTGAGTAAGTCTGAGTATGAGTAGGTCTGAGTATGAGTAAGTCTGAGTATGAGCAAGTCTGAGTATGAGTAAGTCCGACAGGAGGGGAGGAGGAAAGAGGAGGAGGAAGGAGGAGAGGGAGTAGGAGGCGTCCAAGTAATAACAAGAACCCCATCTTAGGATATGGGGAATAAAAGAGCTCGCCAATCTTCATGGCGCAAGTCTGTGTTTTTGTTTCCCCCACCTGGCGCTATGCGTGTCGAAGACTTCCAGATTGAGGCCTCGGCGGCTAACGGAACGCGCAGTAAATACATCACGTACATGCACACACACACACACACTTCTGCGGCAAGTCCTGCGCCCGCTGAGAGCCCCTTGAATCAAAACTCCAGGGCCTCGTTGGGCCGTTGGGCCCTGGGACGGTTTCGCCCGCCCTCCGCAGCGGCGACTCTGGCCTGGCGGACGCGGCGGCGCCGACAACGCCGCCGCCGACTCCGCCGCCGCTGACGCTGCCGCCGCCGACGCTGAAGACGGTGTCGACGCCGACGCCGACGCCGAACCGTAACGCCGACGACGTCGACGCCGAACGCCGACGACGCAAACGCCGCCGCTGACGCCGCTGACGGCAGCGCTGACGACGAAGGCGCCGCCGACGCCGCTCCCATATGGCGGCCGCGGCGCTCCTGCGCGGCGCCGCCGCTGGGGTGGAGCGTGCCATCGCGGCCGCTGGTGCCGCGAGCGTCCGCTGCCGAGACGTCGCTCGGGATGCCCTCGGGCGCCGTGCGGGAGGCGTCAGCGGCGTGGTCGTCGGCGTCCGCATCGGGCGCGGCGGCGGCATAGGCGTCGGCGTCGCTGCCGCCGTCGGCGGTGGCGTCAACGTCAGCGTCGGCGCCTCGTCGGCGGCAGCGTCGGCGCCGTTGGCGGCGTCTGCGCCGTCGGCGACGGCGGCGTTGACAGGCGTCCGCGAAGTCAGCGGCAGCGTTGACGCCGAGGTCGGCGTCGGCGGCTGCGTCGGCGACCGCGTCGACGGCGGCTTCGTCGGCGGCCTCGTCGGCGGCGTTAGGGTCGTCGGCGGCGTCGACGGCGGCGTCGGCGGCGACGTCAGCGCCTTGTCAGTGAGGGTCGGCGGCATTCGTGTCCGCGGCAGCGGTGGCGTCGACGGCGCGGTCAGCGCCTCGTCGGCAGCGACAGCGGCGTCTGCGCCGTCCGCAGCGACGGCAGCGACGGCGACGTCGCCCGCGTCATCTTCACCGGAGTCGGCGCCGTCGGTGTCGTTGACGGCGGTGTCGGCGCCGCCCCCGTCAGCGGCGGCGTTGACGGCGGCGGCGTCCGCGTCGGTGGCGGCGTCGTCGGCCTCGTAAGCGGCGGCGTCGGCGGCGTCGGCGGCAGCAATGCCTCGACGGCGGCAGAGGCGCCGCCAGGGTGGGTCCAGCGCCGACCCAGGGAACCCCGCGCGGACCTCATAATCCGCGATCCTGATTTCATTTTCTCCCTGCGCAAAACCGCCCACGGCGACAACTCGACCGAAAACCCACCGAACTGACAGCGAAACCGAGACCGACCGAAACCGACTGGCCGCAAGGAGCCCTAGGAGGGCGCAGCGGCGCAGCAACCGACCGAACCGATCCGAACAAGTGAACAGCCGACTGCGAAGCAGCCGAACGGATCGAATCACGGACACCCTCGCTCCTCCATCTTCTCTCCCTTGAGAGGCAACGGTCGGGGAAAGTGGCACATGGAAGGAAACACCAACCTGGAATCGGCGACACATCGCCGATAGACCCACGATTATGAAACCGCACGTTCCTGCACAGGGTGGACTGTCGGGCCCCCATCGGCGATCAATGGGCGACGAGGAGTCGATGCACCCCCCGATGAGCCCATCCCCCCCTAACATTGCCCATCGGTTTTCAGGTCATACCCCGTCTCTACGGCGGCCGTTCAGGACGATCTGGGCAACCCCTGATCGCCCTGGCGAGGCGCAGCTGCTGGAACGCATCAACAGGCTGAAAGCCAGCGAACACGTCAGAAAACTTCGACTCGAAAAAAACACCTGAGCCGACCTCCCCTGAACGTTGCCCCTCCTCGGCGACGATGACAGCGTCGTGCGGTGTCCTTGGGCGGCTCCCTGCGCACCACCGGCGTGAACGTACCGCTTGGGTCGTGCGGCGTCACCGGCGCCGGCGCCGGCGCTTGCCAGGACCAGGGCTGCAAAGGGGGGGCGGGATGCTGGGGAGCGGGGAGGAGATGGGTTCGACGACCGATGTTCGAGTGTTTGCTCCTTGGAGACCTCAAACTTGCCTCCATGTGCATGACGCCCCCGAGAGGCATCCCAAGAGACCCCAACAAGCATCTATGATTCATCCCGCTGACCTACATCCCAGGCACGGTAGCGCGACGGGCAAAAGGCCACCAGTTCGGATCGAGAACCGAAGATCAGGGTTCGAATTTTCCGGATGTCGTTGCGGCTCTCTCCGGGTCTCCTGGAGAGCCCTCGACGCCGCGTCTGGATTCGTGTCAGAAAACCCCAGTCGGAGCGCAGCCAAGACTTGTCGGGGAGTAGATTACCCGAAGTCTGCGTTCAACCAAGCGCTTGAACAAAACCCGAAGCGGACATTTTGCGCAATGCCTGCCTCTGGGACGATTTCGTGCCTGCCCAGGTGCAGTCAACAACTGGTCAGGATGAGAAGCATGCCCTGAGAAAGAGGTCAACAGGTCTTTGTCGAAACGAGAATGCCGTGGTCCACAGCCCCCGCGGCTGAGAACCCCCACTGGACACCAAAACGCGCGCCCAGCCATTGGGCGGATTCCCAAGGCCGTCCACGGCGACAGCGCCAAAAAAAAAGCGCCAGATGCAGCACGTCGACCCTGCAGCACCAGGCGCACTCTTGTCGGCGGTGGACAAGCCTCCCTTTGGTAAACCTCCCCCCCGTGCAAACGGCCTGGGACCGAAACCGACGGACCTGGACCCGCAAAAATGACGGCCGCGACGCCCCCTCGCGAACCGAAAACGGCCGATTCCCCAATCGACGTGCCGGGGCAGGAGGCCCATCCGCCTCCCCAAGCCTTCGGCCCCGTCGTCGTCGTGTCTGACGCGCCCGGGTGCTCCCCCTCTCCGTGCCCCGGAGAGCACGGGCCGCCCTCGGAGAACGCCCGCCCCGTCCCGGGTGCCCTCGGCGACCGGATCCCGGCCGTGGAGGCTGCTGGAGACTCGACACGTCGACCCCGCCCTCGCGGGCGGCGGCAGGCCCTCCTGGCAGGTGGCCGTGGTCTCACCGCTCTCGGCGCCGCGCTCCAGACGCAGCCGATCTCTCCAGCTCGGGGATGGATCGTGGACCGCCTCGCCAGTCCTCCGAGAGGTCCCTCAGGGCACGACCGACGGAGCACCGCGGCCCCAGGGACGGAGTCGACGGCCCTGGGCCGGGCGCCGTGAAAAAGCAATGGGGGTCCGAGCAGATGGAGTCGGAGGACCCCGCCGCATCGCCGATGCCACGGCGATGCAGCGGCGACGCTGGCGATGCATCGGCGACGTCGGGGTGGAGAGCATCGAGCTCCGAATTGAGCCGCAGCGCCGACCGACGCATCGACGATGCGGCGCGGATCCTCCGACCGCACCCGCTCCGGGGCCCTGTTGTCGGCAGCTCAGGATCGGTCCCCACCCTCTCAGGGCCAAGGCACCAACTCTCCGAGCTGCGTCCAGCCGTGGCGACGCGGAGGCCCCCGGTTGTCTCAACTTGCCCGCCTCTGGGTTTGGGAGGCCTGGGGCCACGGCGTCGGAGGCCCTGGGGCCTGGGTCTGACCACCGCTCGGACGTCGCGCCGTCGTGCCCGGGCGGGCCGAGGCGGCGCCCATGAGCCGAGGCGACGATGACTACGACTGCGGCGGCGGCGACGACCCCGGCGACGGCGGGGGCGGCCCTCGCCCTCCGCCTCCGAATCGGGCCGTACCGCCCATCGATGCATCGGCGATGCGGCGCGCATCCTCCGACCAGTCTGGGAGGCCCGGGCCAGAGCCACGGCGTCGGCGTCGGAGGTCCAGGGCCGGGGCCGACCACCGCCCGGGCACTGCGCCGCCACGGCCCGAGAGGGCCGCGGTGGCGCCTGGAGCCGAGACGACGATGACGACGGCGGCAGCGGCGGCGACGACGGCGGCGGCGGCGGCAGTCGGCCTCCGCCTTCGAAGAGTCTGGAAGTCTTATGTGCCCAGGCTGCGGCGACTCGTGACGCGTGGCGCTGCAAGGCCTCTGAGCTCCTTCCGAAGCCGTACCCGGAGGAGGCTTAACCTACGGAACCGACGACTTCCAGTGGTCTGTGGAGATACCTGGAGGCTTCCGCAGAGGACCAGAAGACGCCAACCTGCTGAAAAACGTATCGAAACGCAAAAATATTCGCACAAGCAAACATACATATGAATAAATAACGCCCTCGATTTGACGACGACGACGACGACGACGACGACGATGACGACGGCGGCGGCGGCGGCGGCGGCGTCGAACGGCCCCCATATCAGGACGTCGAGGGAGATCCACCCGTGGCGGCGAGGGCAACCCACGAGGCCCGAAGAGACCCACAAATATCAACACGCCTCCCATACACCCGACGTTTCGATGTTGCCGATGCGTGGGCCACGGACGTCTCGAGCCCTTCCGCCGAACAGACCAACTTCCGCCCGGGACCTCTTTCCGACGGCCAGGCAGCTCTGACGTCGAACTGGCCGCCTCGATCTTGTTCCGAGGCGGCTGATGTGATGGGCTCGTTTTCCACCACCACCACCATGAGTTGGAGGGGGAGGGGGTCCTCCACCTCCTCCTCTTCGTCCTCCTCCTTCTTGTCGTCCTCCTCCTTTCCCCCTCCAACTTGTGGTGGTGGTGGTGGAAAACAGGCCCATCATGATGTCTGGGCTCGAATCCTGATCCTCCATCTTCAACGACGACGCCAGCGCCATCGGCGACGGCGGCGACGATCCACCCGTGGAGGCGGGGACGACCCACGGGGGCCGGAGGTGCCCCCAAACAACGCCAACAGATCTCGAACCTCGACGGTCGCTCTCCGACGACGACTACGACGACGGACGACGACGACGACGATGACGGCGGCGGCGACGTCGGCCGCGGCGGCGACGGCGGCGGCGATGGTGGCGGCGGCGCGGCGGCGACGGCGGCGACGATCGAGTGCAACTGCCGAGGCGCCCGCCGCTTCGGTGGGACTGTGCGTCGGGGCGCCCGCCGCCGTGCCTGTGCGGTGGGCCGGGGAGGACACCCCCACCCCCACGCGCGAGCTCGGCTTGCTCTGTGCACTTGCGGGCCGATGCTCTTGCACCCCTGCTCTCTGCCACCCTTGCTCCCCATACGTTGCAGGCTCTTGCCTCAGGCTCGGCGCGAAGCCAACGCCGCATTTGCAGCAGCTACTCTTGCTCATCCTGAATTCTTCAACCTTCGTTTCCCCTCTGGTGGCAACTCTGGGGCTCAATTGCTCTTGAAACAACCTTGCCCGGCCGAGAGACGCGGAATCCGGCACGACACCTCCAAGCAGATACTCCCGAGCAGAATTTGAGAGCCATCAAAACAGAACAGCGGTGTCCAGCAAGGCACCAAAGCTTTTCTCAAAAACCTGCCCCTCGCCCCAGGACGCGGAGATATACATCGTCTCATACATTCGTGAGCAAGCGGCGCCGAAAGATTCGAGGCGAACCATGTTGCCCGTGCAACTCCCAAGCGCAGTAAAGGAGAGGCGGAGCCCAGTCCCGATTATGCCTCCGCGGTGTCCCGGACAAGGCCGTGCCCCCGAAAGTGCGCAGATTGGGTTAGGTTTGCGCTACTGTCCCCGCTGCGTATCCCGCGCAACGGAGCAACCCAAATTCGATCTGCTCTTTGCCACGGAAATGGCGCACAGAGCCCATGTAGCTCTGGCCTCAGCTAGGGGACCGCATGCGAACCCTACCCCTACCCCCCACGATTTCTGAGGGGGAGGGTGGGGTTCACTTCGCTTGAGAGCTCCCGAACGAAGTGAACCCCACCCTCCCCCTCAGAAATCGTGGGGGGTAGGGTAGGGTTCGCATGCAGCGCGGCGCACATTCGTTTGAAAAACTTGCAAAAAGAGTTTCACGGATTGAGGTCGGGTGGTTTTCAGAATGTAGCTCTCGTCTGAGCGCGGCGCGCATTTGTTTGAACCAGTTGCAAGAGCTTCACGTATTGAGGGCAAGTGGTTTTTAAAATGTGGTTCTGGCCTGAGCGACGTTTGAAATCACCCTGGCGACGTACCCAACCCCTGCGCAATGCGGAGCAGGAGTAGCTTGGGAGATTTGACGGGAAAGCGGCGACGTGGCATGGGCGCATATACTTCTGCGAGAGGCATCCGGGAGGTTCGCAGCTCCCCAATCAAAACACATGCGTGAGCAACTAATAAGTGAACCACTGAGTCACTAAGGAAGACGCAAGGTCCAAAAGGAGACCGGGGCAAGCGGCTTGAAACGTCGGCGGGGCAACAACAACATGACATGGCCGCCCAAGGACGGAGAGGTCCTGCTCAGGTCCGTGCAGTGCCTCACTCCACTGGGCCCACCAGCAGCCTTCGAAAGTGGCGAGCCCACCAGCAGCCCTCGAAAGTGGCGACCGTTTCGCAGATCGCACCCCCCAGGGACAGCGAGGTATCGCTCAGGTCTGCACGGTGCCTCACTCCGCTGGACCCCCGACAGCCCTCGAGAGTGGCGACAGTTTCGCAGAACGCAGCCCCCAAAAGACGGCGAGGTCTACCTCAGGTCTGCGCGGTGCCTCACTCCGCAAGACCCACCAGCAGCCCTCGAAGTGGCGACCGTTTCGCAGATCGCAGCCCCCAAAAGACGGCGCGGTCTCGCTCAGGTCTGCGCAGTGCCTCACTCCGCTGGACCCACCAACAGCCCTCGAAAGTGGCGACCGTTTCGCAGATCGCAGCCCCCGCCCCGCCCCAGGGACGGCGAGGTCTCGCTCAGGCCTGCACGGTGCCTCACTCCGCTGGACCCACCAACAGCCCTCGAAAGTGGCGACCGTTTCGCAGATCGCAACCCCCCGTGGACGGCGAGGTCTTGCTCAGGCCTGCACGGTGCCTAACCCCGCTGGACCCACCGGCAGCCCTCGGAGGTGCCGACAGCTTCGCAGATCGCAGCCCCCCAGGGACGGCGAAGAGAGGGCAGCAGGGGGGGGAAGCGGGAGGAAGGACGCGCGAGCAGTGCTTTATTCAAAACGACTGCCCAACCAAAGACGGTTGGGACAAATTGCACGAGTTCCACAGATTGAAAGCGGGTTGTTTCGCCCTAACACCGCGCACACTCGCTCAATCTGTTTAAATCTTACAAGAGTTTCACGGATTGAGGGCGGGTGGTTTTCAAAATGTGGCTCTCGCTGTAACGCCACGAACACCTTTTTCAACACTTGCAAAAATCCGCCGGCCCCCTTGTGGGGCCACCAGGCTGCGAGGCGCGTGATTCGCAGTTTCCTGTACCAGTCGTAGGTTGTAGGTTCCAGTGTTACAGTTCTGCTTCTTGCTGGTTACTGTAACTAGTTGACTTCTTGCTGGTTACTGTAACTAGTTGATTGACCGCGCGAGGGGGGGGGAGGCCCAAACAAGACTTTTAGCCTCACCTGGGCGCGTTGTCTGAATTGCTGGGGGGGCTCGAAATCAACACCCCTCACGCAGATCCGCGGGGTCAGGGTCCAAAAACACAAGGGATTTGCCACATTTCTGAAATTCGGTGCCACCCCTCACGCAGATCCGCGGGGTCAGGGTCCAAAAACACATGGGATTTGCCACATTTCTGAAATTCGGTGCCACCCCTCACGCAGATCCGCGGGGTCAGGGTCCAAAAACACAGGGGATTTGCCACATTTCTGAAATTCGGTGCCACCCCTCACGCAGATCCGCGGGGTCAGGGTCCAAAAACACATGGGATTTGCCACATTTCTGAAATTCGGTGCCACCCCTCACGCAGATCCGCGGGGTCAGGGTCCAAAAACACAGGGATTTGCCACATTTCTGAAATTCGGTGCCACCCCTCACGCAGATCCGCGGGGTCAGGGTCCAAAAACACAGGGATTTGCCACATTTCTGAAATTCGGTGCCACCCCTCACGCAGATCCGCGGGGTCAGGGTCCAAAAACACAGGGATTTGCCACATTTCTGAAATTCGGTGCCACCCCTCACGCAGATCCGCGGGGTCAGGGTCCAAAAACACATGGGATTTGCCACATTTCTGAAATTCGGTGCCACCCCTCACGCAGATCCGCGGGGTCAGGGTCCAAAAACACAAGGGATTTGCGCGAGTACTCCCTCGGCCCTTTAATCCCAAGGTGTGGCAACCAAGCTCGTAAACCATACACGTCTTACCAATCGCCCTGTGTGGTAACCCCTCTTGTGATCAGTTGGTTTTGCCGATTGCGAATCGGCCTTGCATGAAGTTCCGATACTGCTGCACGACAGCGCCAAAGCCTCATGACTTAGCTCTTCCATGGCCCATTCTCCGAGAGAGGGGGCCGGCGGCAGGGGGCGAAACCCTTACGGATTTCACGGATTCCCATCATCAACGTACCAGAAATGATGTTTTGGAGGGATTCCGGATTATGCGGGTGAATAGTTACGTTGGCTCTCTGTGTTGAAATCCTAGGAATGGCGTTTTGGAACGGCATTGGATTGTCAAGACGCAGCAGTCAGGTTGATCCGTGGCGTTGGAATCCCGAGAACGATGTTTTGGCAGGCTTCAGAGTCTTCTAACGAGTGTCTTCCAACGAGGCAGTTCCATCAATGGGGATGAACCGTTGCAGGGGCCTATGAAGAGAGAGCTTGGAGGAAGGGTTTACTCCAACATCGTTGATGACTCTTTGGTTTACACTTGTCCTCCTCCTCCTCCTGCTCCTCCTCCTCCTCCTCCTTCTCCTTCTCCATCCATTCCCTTTCCATATACATAACTTGTCCTTGTCGCACCCCGAGGCCAGCTTTTAGGCCGGGCAGGGCGTTTCGCCTGAGACGTCCTCAGCATCTATGACTCTGAAGCTAAACATTGGAAGCGGCTTCACAGATGGAGGGCGGGTGGTTTTCAACATGTAGTTCTCGCCTTAGCGCGGCGCACATACGTTTTGAAACATTGCAAGAGTTTCACGGGTTGAGGGCGGCTCCTTTTCAAAATGGAACTCTCGCCTTAGCGCCGCGCACTTTCGTGTTAAAATGCAAAGGGTGCACGGGTTGAGGGCGGCTCCTTTTCAAAATGTGGCTCTCGCATTAGCGCCGCGCAAATTCGTTTGAACACTTGCAAGATGTTCACGGACTGAGGGCGGGTCGTTTTCAACATGTCGTTCTCGCCTTAGCGCGGCGTGCACTCGTGCTATAAAAGGTGCGCGAGTTCACAGATTGAGGGCGGTTCCTTTTGAAAATGTGGCTCTCGCCTTAGCGCCGCAAACATCCGTTTCAAGTATATACAAGAGTTTCACGGATTAAGTGCGGTTCCTTTTCAAAATGTGGCTCTCGCCGTAGCGCCGCGCACATTCGTTCAATTTTTTTGAAAACTGGGTCCCATCATGAACGTACCAAACATGGTGTGTTGGGAGGATTCAAGATTATGCGGTTGCAACGATTATGTTGATTCGCGGTGTTGAAGCCCACGAAAAAGCGCTCTGTCACGATACTGTTCGTCAGCAGTCGGGTTGATCCGTGGCGTTGAAACCCCGAGAACAATGTTTTGGCATGTTTCAGGGTCTTCAAGGGTGTCTTCCAACGAAGCAATTCCCTCAATGGAAATGAACCGTTGTAGGGGGTCTTATGAAGACGGAGCTTTGAGGGAGGGCTAATTCCAAAATCGTTGATGTCTCTTTGGCTTACATGGGTCCTCCTCCTCCTCCTCCTTCCCCTCCTCCTCCTCCTCCTGCTCCTCCTCCTCCTCTTCCTCCTCCTCCTCCTCCTGCTCCTGCTCCCCCTCCTCCTCCTCCTCCTCCTCCTCCTCCTCCTCCTCCTCCTCCTCCTCCTCCTCCTCCTCATCCCTCCCCCCACTCTCACGCCGGTTCGCTCCGTCGGCCGCCTCGGCCCATCCCCGACGGGCGCGGTGGGGGGACGATTAAAAGAATAGTTTCTTGAGCCGGGGAACATTTTTAACAGTTGCCTGGCCAGCGGGGTGGTGGGACCCACTCATAATCACGTGCTCGCATCATCCATCCGCGGTGCCCGTCCGTCTGCGAGGTCCAGAGCCCCCGAGGCGGCCCAAGAGGGCTCCCAGTCGCCGAAGGCTCCTCCAGGACGCCGAGTAGCCTCCGGGCGGCCCAAGGTGCCCCGAAAACGCCCCAAGAGGCCTCAAGGAGCCCTCCCCAGAGGGCCCCACGAGCTACAGTCATTGACTTTCGCTGCGTTTCTGACAGAGTTTAGCGTTCTCGCCGATTCGGTTCCCCGACGCTCCACGACGGCCCTAGAGGCTCCCAATAGGCTACCAGACGAGGCCTCCAAGAGAGGCCCTGAACAGGTGAAGAAGGCCCCATACGGCCCCAAAGATTGCCTCAGAGGCCTCCAACGTGGCCCAAAAGAGATCCTAGACCGCCGCGAGAAAGGTTTTGGAGGGGAACCCGAGCCCGCATTTCGAGCCCTCGGCCCCCCTGAGGCCCGTGAGAACCCTCCACGAAGCTACAAGAGGGCCCCAGGTCCTTTCTGAAGGAGCCCAGGCCCGCTGAGGGCCCTGGGAGCCGGATGACCAGGAAAAAACATGGCCAGCTGACCTCATGCCGAGAGGAGGCGCAGAACAGCCCCGCCTGCCGCGCCGCCCATGTCGAAGTCGTCGTCGGCCTCTACCTTGGTGACGTTGCGGTCTGCCGGCGACGGCCCCGCCGCGGCACCCGTGGCGGTGGCGGGGCTGCCTCGCGGCCGCCGGGAAGAGGTCCTTCCTGAAAGAAACGAACCCGAGACCTCGGGGCTCTCGCCAGGAACAGCGTTCCATGATGAGCCGTTTCTTGCCCGTCCAGGCCCGCTGAGGGCCCTGGGAGCCGGATGACCAGGACAAAAACATGGCCAGCTGACCTCATGCCGAGAGGAGGCGCAGAACAGCCCCGCCTGCCGCGCCGCCCATGTCGAAGTCGTCGTCGGCCTCTACCTTGGTGACGTTGCGGTCTGCCGGCGACGGCCCCGCCGCGGCACCCGTGGCGGTGGCGGGGCTGCCTCGCGGCCGCCGCTGCCGCCGCCGCGTCGCCGTCGTCGCTCGTCACCGCCGCCGCCGCCGCCGCGTCGTCGTCGCAGGCCGAGGGGGCCCTGGCCGCGCTGTCGCCGCCATCGTCGCCGCGAAGGCGGCACCGCCGTCGCCGTCAGCGTCGTCGCAGCGTCGTCGCCGCCGTCGCCGCGTCTCTGCGTCGGCAGCGCCGCGTTTGCCGCAAGGGCCCCGCGGCTGAGCGACCGTGCAGCGCCGAGACCGTCCGTGCCACGGCTGCCGCGTAGCCGTGAGGCCTCACCGCGCCCGACTGCGGGTGGGCGCGGCAGCGCGCGTCTGGGTACTGCCAGTATCGCCAGCGATAGAACGTCAGGGTAGCCACCAGGATAGCGACAACGGCAGCGCGGGTCTGCACCGTGGGGTCATGACCAGGGAAAAGACGAGCCCGATACTCCTGGCATATTGACCTATGTTTCATCTTAACGGGTGAGTGCGGCTGACCTTGAGTATTGGGTTGAACCTCACCTGGCAGTGGCCGAGTCATCTGAACTTCCAAAAGGATTCGTGCACCGTGCCTCGTGAAAGATCTGGTCTAATGGAGCGTTCCGCAAAGTCCATCCAGCCGACCAAACAAGTCGTTCACAGTTTGAGCATAGTATATACATACACACGTCCGCCAGCGTGCCCTCCCTGGCACGTTATGGCGTGGTAGTGTTGTAAGGGCGCCCCGCCCGTCTTCCCTCTCCTGACGCAGATGCAAGCTTCCAGTCGTGGTCATACCAGACGTACTCGGGGAGAGAGAGGGGGGGGGGCATAACGGAAGGCCTCCCCCCCGCCCCCGCAGTGTGCCCAATGGCACCACCACAGCGCTCGCGCGCGCCTCAGCCCTGTGGCAAAAAACGGCCGTCATGCCTGCGCGCAGAAGAAGATGTCCGCGAGAACAGCGCGTGACTGACACCATCGGACGGCGAGGAGAGGGCAGACAGACCCTGCCAGAACCACAGCAGCCTTGCGAGACCCTGCGCACAGAACAGTACGCCGGACCCTGATACTACCGCACCACGGAGGCAGAGCAGCCTTCGAGCACGTACCGCCGCAGCACGCGGGCGCCACAACGGTACCACATCTACGAACAGCAGGATGATAGACTCCGAGGGTATACAAGAGAGGCCCGCGAGCACTGCAACGCGGCTGAGAGCACAACAACTCTCTCGTGAGAAAAAGAGCCTCAGTAGTCTACGAGAACCCCAAACGCACATCCCTGTGATCAGTGTAGCGTGCTCGCGACCAGCAGATGGCGAGGAAAGCCAGGCCTAGCCAGGAACATACAAACCTTCGATCGCCACGCGTGTCCACAAAAGCATGCTGAACCCTCCGAGTGCCACAATAGCCTTCGACAGAAGAAGAGGATGACTAGCAAGAGGGGAAGGAGGAGGAGGAACAAGAGGACGAAGAAGACGACGACGACGAGAAGGAGCACGAGGTCGAAGAGACGAGGAGGAGGTGAGGGGGGTAGCGAGGACGGCGAGGACGACGACAATCACAACGGTGACGACGACGAACCCGACGAGGATGACAACGACGACGGCGTCGGGGACGAGACCAGGAGGACGGAGGACCACGAAGGCGACGACGAGGACGACAGAGACAACGATCAAGACGAAAACCACGAGAACGACGAGCACGAGGAGAACGAGGGAGAGGAGAATAACGAGCAGAAGGATGGGGGGAGGGCGAGGAGGATGACGAGCAGGTGTATAAGCAGAAGACGAGGGGGGAGTGGGGGAGAGGGGCGCCAGCGCTTCCGGCGTCGAGGGGCACCCCGACAGCATGCTGCGAGCACCACAACGCTCGTGAAAACAAAGCTATGCTCGAGACCGCCAGACGGCCAGGGGAGCCAGACCCTGCCAGCACCACAGAAGTGTGCGAGCGGCACATGGTCGGTTTCGGAAACCCTGAACCCAAAAACGTTCTCATCTCCTGGGGACACATGTTTTACTCCCGCCACCTTCCGCCGGCGGTTGCGGCCTCGTTTTACTTCCGCCGACTTTCCGATGACCTTCCACCGCCTTCCGCCGCGGAAAACATGACAACTCCATCGATCCTCGAAGGCAAGGCCGTCTTTGGAACGCCCCACATGTGCACGCACGCAGCAGCATGCTGGAACCTGCAAATGCCACAGCAGCTTGCGAGCACCGCAAGGTGCGCGCGAGCACGGAGCGATCAGCGAAGATTGGTCGCATGGCGCCAAGATTGGTCGAAACTCTTCTGGAACTCTGCACTGCCCTTGCAACCTGTGATGTCCCTCGCATAACTTGCGTGCGCAATCGCCTCGGAAATGCGCCACCCAACATCTCATAAACTTGCCGCGCCCTGGTACGGCCGCAAGTTGGCCCCGCCACTCCCGTTTACTGGCCGTTCAAGCTTGTGCTCTGGCACACAGGGTACAAGATCGTCTCGGTCCGAGCGTGCTCCGCTGCCCGCGACTTCCTCCTCCGCCCGCGCCCCTTCTTCCTTCCCGTGTGCCCAATGAGGCTCCCAGACCGCATCGTGGACCCAAGTCGTCTCTGACAGGAAAGTGCGCGAGCACGGGCAACAAGCATGCGAACACCACAGCAGCCTGCGAGCAGCACAGCATGTTGCGAGCAATACTCCAGCATGCGAGCACCACAGCAACTGGCGAGCAGAAAACAGGAGCCACGACGCTACGGCCGCATCCTGCTACGAGGCCGCAATGCACGCGTGCGCTGCGGCAGTGCCGGGGGAGCGCTGCAGGGAGGGCGAGGGCGATGAGCGCGGTGAGGGGGTGTTACGTTGTGTGAGGGAGAGGAGAGGGGGGCGGGCGGGGGGGGAAGAACGGGCGTTTTGGCCCAGGCCTTCGAAAGCACTCCACAGCGCCGGCTGCACCACCTACCCCCTTATTGAAGCTCCCTGGGCCGCCCTGACGTCTCCCCAGTGCTTCTCTCCCAAGGCTCTCCACGGCTTCCAAGACGGCCCAGGAATCTCACCGAGGATCACCCAGGCCACCAGGATGGTCCAGCAATGGGGCCAGAGAAACCCAAGACAGCCTCTAAGAGGACCCCAAGAGACGCCAACGACAGGCCCAGAGGGGCCCAGGACGGCCCAGGATAGTCCCAAAAAGGGCCCCAAACGGCCGGGAGGCGCGAAGGACGGCCCGAGACAGCAGCGAAACAGCCAAGGAGGGCCCCAAAGCACAAAGCGCCACGATGGCGCACGCAAACCCCCACGAGAGCCTCCTCAAAAGAACAGAAGCGAGGGGTATCGAATAATACGGCCTTCGGTACTCGAAGCGCCGCCACAAAGGGTGCTGCGCTTGCTCGGTGGCGGGACCTGCCGCAGGCAGCTGGATATCAAGAGCCTGCCCTACGGAAGCTGTAGAAATTCCTGTGATCGCGTGTTCTGCCTTCTTCAATGTGTGTTTGTTTTTGCCACCCGTCACCTGCTTGATAGACAGCACTTGTCGAATACGCATCTGCGACAAACACTTCAACTGTCGGAATGTCTTCAAGCTGCTTCAAAAACGAACTAAACAGAGTTGACTGCGCCGCATGAGCCCACAGGTCCCACGTCAAGCGGTAAAGGAACACCAGGTTCAATGTGCTGGGTGAGCGATCGAGGAAAGAGGCGAGGAGCGCCGAGGCTTGACCGTTGGCTTGAAATAGGGGACCGCATGCGAACCCTACCCCTTCCCCCCCTGATTTCTGAGGGGGAGGGTTGGGTTCACTTCGCTTGGGAGCTCCCGAACGAAGTGAACCCCACCCTCCCCCTCAGAAATCGTGGGGGGTAGGGGTAGGGTTCGCATGTGGCCCTCTATGAAAGACTGAAGATACATCTGCCTGGTGAAAATTCACTCGGAATGATGACGACGGGGACTCCGATGCCCCCTCGTTTTCCTGACCATCACCGGCTGCAAACAAATCGCATTTCCCATTCTCGTACTTCGACAGCTGCTGTCGAAACAACCCGTCCAACTCTCTGACTGTCTCACCCCAAGGAGCAGCGTCTACCAATACAGCCCTCTTCAACCGCTTCGAAAGCTGTCGAGGGCCCAAAAATATCATCAAACTCCACAGCTCACTGCCAGGACCAGAACCGAGAGCAACAACGTTAAGCGGCTGCGTCCCATTTCTCAGAAGACTGCTATAGGCGGCACTGCCACCGCTTGTTGCAAGTTCCAGGTAGTACAAGTCGTTAACAATGCGCCCCATCAACAAGTTCTGCGTATATGCCCGTTGCAGCACCACATTGCTGTAGTCCTCCAATGTTCCCTGTCTGTTCCACCACTCATGGTAAACAGCCATCATGCTCTTCTGAGCTGCGTCGTGATTTGACATGTTCAGCGCATGTGCTGAATTTGTACTGAATTTCGCCAGCACGTTTTCAACTGTGTGTCTGCATTGCAGTAGCGACGACTGCGCAACATTGACATGGTCTGCGGTCGAATCCAATTTAAGAATTGCGCATAGCAGACTGATCGTTGCTATGGATATTAGAGCGTAGACTGATCGTTCAAGGATCCCAGCCATAGTATAATGTCCCTTGTTATGGATGCAGCGTGATCTGAGTAACGCGCAAGGTAACTACCTTGAAACTAAGTGGCTACGGAGGCCGCCGTAATGGCCAAAGGGCCCACGAACCACCGCTACCCTCAAGAGGCCTCAAAACGACAAAGCAAGGCACGAAATCGGCCGAGCCTTGTCGTTTTGTCTGCACCTGCCAATTAATGACGTTCAGGGTGCGATCAAACGGAATTCGGCCACAACGCCGGGCACTGAGTGGAATCAGAAAGTCAAACTGGAGGAGTACACGCTCGGGCCCGAATCTGCGAGCACTGGATACCTTGGGAATTCGAGGAAATTGCACAGTGAAGCGAGAGCCCGAGCAATCGTGCTGGGTTCTGAGGCGCACTCTATTGCAACACTTGGCTGATTGGCGCCAGAGACGCCAGGGACAGAGGTGAACCGCGGCTATCCTTGGCGAGGCTCGAGTCCGAGGCTCCGAGGGTGGAGGTCCGAAGATCATCGAGGTTCGATGGACCGAGGTTTTTGGACGTCTCTTGCAAGCAGGGCTGTCCGTTATTGATAGTCCTGTCCTGACCTATGTCTTTTGGGGCGTTGCACGTCACACATTACTCTGTTCGCGGTCGGAATTTGAAAAATATACCACTGGAACTTAAACTGATCCTAAACGATACTTTCGGGCTGGCTGCCCATCATCCGCTTCAATACGGTAATTCGGCTTGTGTCGTGGCGACTTCGTCGTTGGCTTCTGACACCGCGTGGATCGTTCAACCATGGGCATTCGCTGCTTCCCGATAGCGCAAGATTGGTCGATGGCGGCGGACGTTCGACCTTGAATGGCCGCGCGAGGGTCGCCACCGCGGCGACGAGGCACAAATGTGTCGAGGACCTCTCCTTTCGGTCGACCATGACCCGAGTATCATCGAGCGTTGACACTGCGACACCGCCCCTCCCACGACAGGCGTCTAGTGCCACCGCTCTGGCAGGCGAAGGGGCGAACCTGACCAGCAAGACGTCATCAAGGTGAACTGGCGGGATCTATTCTGCCGCGCTGGACGTGCGCTCCCGAGAATGGCGGCATGGACGACGCGGCAGCGACACGCCGTCGCTGGCTCGCGGCACGGTCGAGGCTGGCTGCCGCACCGGACGTGCGCTATCGAGAAGACGCCGCAGAGTGTAGAGCCTGCAAGAGTCGGCCATCGGCAATCTGGCGAGGCGCTGCCGAGGTTCCACTCCACTGCGAGCGGGCCATCGGCCATCGGCAATCTGGCGAGGCGCTGCCGAGGTTCCACTCCACTGCGAGCGGGCCAAGCCCTCCCGCCCACGCGGGAGAGCTTTACGCGCCTGCGCAGGATGCTCCCAAGTCTGCAATCGTTCCAATCCCAAGCACATGTGGTCATTGCTTGGCACAGGGTCCGCGCGCCGCTCGCGCGTCGCCGTGCACTGTCCACGAGGCGGCACGGGACGCTTTTTAGATACACATGGAACTCGGTCATCGTTCAATGTTTCTGGTGCGTGTTCGGTGCATTGTCTCTGCATATCCACTGTATGTTCGGTGCATGTTCTGTGCATTGTTTTGCGTTCGTGGCGTCCAATGAGTTCCTGGGGAGAATTTCCGATCCCAGTGGCGGCCCCGGAATTGCATCGATTCCTTAAATTACTGCTCCCACGTGGCCCCCCACGGGCGGGATCACTGGGAAGCCCCCAAAGTGCACCAGGGCCAGTCAACATGTTCTGTGCATTGTCGGTGCATGTTCTGTGCATGTCCGGTGTAAATCCGAAATGTGTTCGGCGCATTTCCGGTGCATGTTCGGGGCACTCTTGGCGTACCCGTCGTGTACGTATGGCGCCGTTCCGCGCGGGCTGCAGGTCCCTCGGGCAAGCGCTGCTCAGGGCATCCGACAGCGCGCGCAATGAGGCGCGTCTAGAAATTTACAAAAAAACACAAAAAACAAAAAAAAAAAAAAAAAAAAAAAAAAAACTTAAGGTGGTAGAGTACCACCCCACTGGACTTGGGATTTTGTCCCCTATCATGGCTTGCACTGAAAAGGTGCTCGCGGATTCTGAAAGATTTTTGGCGAACATCCCCGGGCGAATTGGGTAAACGGCTTGGTTCCCAAGTTCCCGGGCTCCCGGATTCCCGTCCCTGTGTTCGTTCCGGATTCCGGGTTCCGGGTTCCCTGCTCCTTGTTCCGCGTTTCCCAATGGTCGGGGTTCCTGAGTTCTCCGGTTCTGTTCTGGGGTTCCCAGCAAGTGTCCGGGTTGCCTGCTCGATGGGCGGCCGGTCCCCGGCTCCGGGTTCCCGATTCGGGGGTCCGTGGCGCCTCGTTCCAGCGTCTGGATTCCCGACAGCGTGAGGTATTGAGGTATTGAGGTTCTGGAATTCTTGGTTAAGGCCAATCGCCTGGATCTTTGAACACCCTGGCCAGAGAGTTGCGAGCAGATTTGATCAAATGGATTATAATGTGCGACCACTGCTAGGTGCAATCGTGAAAACTGAATGTAGTGTATGTAGCGAATAAATATCGGAGCGCATAGGGCGAGGTTGGGTGTAGAGAGGGGGAGGAAGGGATATATGCATGGATATACAGAGGGAGAGAGAGGAGACAGACAAGAGAGAGAGAGAGACACACACACGCACGCACAAATAAACCTATATGTTTGATTGAGAATACGCTCGCGAAAATAGAGCGCATAGCATTGTGCGAGGGCGTACCAAGTAAGCAGAGACGATGTGTAAGCAGAGACGATGTGTATACGAAGGGAAGAGAGAGTGGCACAGAGGGACGGAGAGGGCAGGCGTGTAGAGCATGCGGAACTCCAAGACACCCACTTGTTGTTTCTCTGAAGAGCATGCTGTAGTGTTTCCATCGTTGGGGTACACTCACGAGCCGCCTCTTGCAGTCTCAAGCCCTCCTGAGGCTCGGAGAGAGAGAGAGAGAGATAGAGAGAGAGAGAACAAAAAAAAAAACAAATATTGGGGAGGGGAGAGGGGAGGTCGCCCCGGGGCAATCTCACTCTCCATCTAGCCCAACCCCGGCCGTTGACCGCGAGCTAGGAACTAGGAGCTAGGCCACAAGAGTTAATGATGCGCCACCGGCGTCCTGGCCAGGGCCTCGAGACTCGAGCCGCCGCGGCGACGGGGGCACGCGAGCGGACCGAACCACGCCGAAGCCCCTTCTCATCCCCCGATGGGCCGGAGGTCTGCCCCCACGGGCTCCACAGAGAGGCCTGCAGGCGCGAGCCTGCCGCACGTGGCTCACCGCGGCTTCGGCCGCACTTCCGGCGCCCCACGGCCACCTTTCTTCGGCCCGTGCGGCGTCTGAGCTCGTCCGACCACCGAGGCAGCCGAGCGGGCTGAGTTCAGACGGGGTCGGGGGAATGGACCCTGTTCGGCTGCCTATTCGAGGATGACGAAGGCGACGACGAGGACGAGGACGAGGACGAGAACGAGGACGACGTCGTCGATGGCGGAGGCGGCGGCGACGACGACGCCGCCGACGACAGCGGCGGCGACGACGACGGGCCCCGAGTTCCGCTCCCAATCGATCCCCTGACCCCACTGGGGTCCATGCTGGTCACTTTGCAGTACGGGCGTCCAGAGCCCACGAAAGGCGGCCCAGGACCCTCCTGGGGTCCATGCTGGTCACTTTGCAGTGGTGCACCGATCTCCCGACGGCCCCTGGGCTCAGCACGGGCCTCCAAAGGCCAAGAGCGGCGGGGAGAGCTGCGGTCAAGCTGCGATCCACGACGGCCAAAAAACAGAGTAAAGAACGACACAAGCCTGGGGGGGCGCAAAACCGCCGGGGTGCACACGGAACGCTGGAGCAGCAGCAGTGAAGGGCTGACGAGGGAACAGCGAGCCCCCTCGGAACGAGAACTGCTCCTGAGTCCAGCTCCTCAGCTGCACTTTGCATCTCGACGACGACGACGACGTCTACGACGACGACGACGACGACGACGATGAGGCCTGGCGGGGTTGGCAGCGGCGAGGCTGCCGGCGCCGCGTCGAAGTCGGGCCCCCCCTCGTGGGAGCGAACAAAACAGGACACCACCACCACAATCGCGAGGATCGAGGATCCTACGAACGTGTGCGTGTTAGCGCCGGCATGTGCTTGTCTACCAGAGCCCTTCAAGACGACGCAGGCTGCGTAACGAAGGCCAGCGTGCGACTGTCGAGGCGAAGCTTAGGTCGGGCATGTCCCCCCACAGGCGGATCTTGAACGAAAAATGAAAAACCCAACAAATATTCAGACAATGCTCCCAATAGTCCAAAAACATCGTCCCCAGAAAATGTTGCTTCACTGTGTTCGAATATCCCCCCTGTATGTAGAGGGACAGGCCCGGCTTGAGGCCAAGCGGGCTAAGCACACATTGGGCCAACGCACGCCCGGAGGACCGTCGAGAGCAGCGGGGGAGTCGACCCGTCGACCCCCCTGCTCTCCAGCGCCCTGCCAGAGCCGTCCCCATCCTCCGGCTTGAGGCGGTGGGAACTGGCATCCAAAGGCCGACCAAGGGGGGCAGAAACTTTTCGCCTGGACATCTTCGCAGATAGAGAGAGTCTGGCTGTCGGGCCATACCCAGAATCTACACGGGTGACCGCGCTCAGGCGCAGGGAGCTAACCGCGTACGCGCATACATGTTCTGGGATGGAACAAGATCGTGAGTCACACACCGCCGTTGGGAAACCATCGGCGCGTTCCCTTCCCATGTTCCAGGTTGGCGGAGGTCAAGGCGTCTTCTCGACAATCTACCACGCTGATGGGCACCCCTCGGAAGCGCGACAGTCATAGCATTCTTGCTCCCCGTGGTCCTGGCCTCTGGCCAAGGGTGGTGTCGGTGGGCGCGTTGCCCTGCCGATGTTGCCCGCAAGACCCGTTGCACGTTCAACCATACCACGCCGATGGGCTCCCCAGGAGAAGGCGTGCCGCTGAAACGGCTGCTCCCCGACGTTCGACGGCACGCCTTCTTTGGGGAGCCCATCGGCACGCCGTCCAACGGCGTTGAGCGTTGAAACGGCGTCGTTGGCCTCTGACGTGGTGGGCTTGTTTTCCACCACCACCACCATAAGTAGGAGGGGGAGGGGGTCCTCCTCCTCCTCCTCCTCCTCCTCCTCCTCCTCCTCCTCCTCCTCCTCCTCCCTCCCCCTCCAACTTATGGTGGTGGTGGTGGAAAACAGGCCCATCATGACGGGGGGCTGGCGCCGATTCTCCTCCCTCCGACGTCGCCCAGCGGCCCTGCGCCCGCGCCGCCCGCCGCCCGCGGGCCCGCCGGCTCCGGGCCGCCGAAGGGCGTGGGCAGCGGCGTGCCCGTCGTCTCCCCGGCGTCACCGCCTCGGCGACGACGGACGACGACGACAACGGACGACGACGACGACGACGACGACGAACGACGACGACGAACGACGACGACGACGACGACGACGATTGCGGCGGCGGCGGCGGACGAAGACTGCGGACGACGGCGGACGGCGACCAAGACGACGACGACGGCCGACAACGGCCGACGACGGCGGACGGCGACGACAAAGGATGGCGACGACGACGGCGGCGGCGGGGGACGACGACGACGGCGGACGACGACGCAGGAAGATGGCCCCTGAGATCCTGGCGACGCCATGGTTTCAAACCTGGCGTAATGATTCGTCTGGGGATTGGGCCCCGGGACGCAAGCAGAATCATTCGGTTCGAGAGATGCCGCGGGAAAAAAAAGTCGAAGGATCCTGGCGTGGTTTTTGCGGGTCTGCATCTCTGGTCGCGACGCCGGATCGCAGGGGCGGAGAAAGACTACGACGGATTGACGCCGACGGCGGCTGCGGCGGCGACGGCGTTCCTGGTCCAGGCATCCTCCATCCTGGACGTACATGTGAGACGAGACTTTCTCAAGATACACTGGGATGGTGAGGAGCACTACTTTTCTCACTGCAAGGGACCAAATTGTAAGCATGCCACTGACAAACATGGGCCAACACGGTTGCGGACCACTCTGTGTCAACGTGTTCCATGATACGGGCAAGCGACGAGGAGCGGAGAGAAGCTAAGGCTATAGGTCCATACAGAAAGCCTAATTCAAACTCCTGTAATCTCCACTGGCACAAAACAGTTGGCGTTCACGGAAACATGTACTTGCAAAAACGGCTGACCACTGCAACAACGGGCGAATCGCTTGCAGGGCCCCTCCCACACTGGAAGAAAATTGATCAAAACTCGATAGTCGGGCCCCCTTTCTGACCAAAGACGAATTTGAAAGAGAAAGACCGCAAGAAGAAAGAGAGACGAACGAAAGGATGAATAACGGAAGGGTATAGAGAAAGAGGGAAAGAGACGAACGGACGAATCGTCAAGTCGACGGACGTCGACCGCACCCGAACAAGCGAGTGAAGTCGTTACTGGAACGTCGAAGATGTTTGGTCGATATCTCCCTTCTGAACACGTTTTCAGTACTTGTGTGAAGAGGCCAGGGACCGACTCCGAACAGTGGAACACATCTTACGATCGGACAGGGACTGTTCCACTGACACCTGCCTCACAGGGTTAATGTTTTCAGGAGCTGAAGTCCGCGGCAATTCCCCATTCGTGACAAACGAATGGGTCACGATATCAACCTGCATCGCCGGATGCTGGGCCCAGCTGGTCCCCAACCTCCTGATTACCTCTGGGTTTGGTCAGCTCGCCTGGCCTGTAGAGTTTTCACTTAGCATGTTAAAAACCTGAATGTTAGAAACGTTTGAAACACCATATATGGTTCCATATGGCGGGACAGCCTACGCGCGCGCTGAATTCCGCATGGACAAGCAATGATATATACATTCGATGTTTGGTGTTTTCGCACAACGGCAGGGGGTATACTCGCATATATCGCGCAAGGCGCCCACGACGCAACGCATTTTGTTAAACACACAAGAACGGAATCCCAAACACGATCCTAAACAAATGTTCCCGCGAGACCAGTTGTCATCACTTGCGCACACAACCTTTGCAGTTCCCCCCTTCCTGGCGAACAGGAGCATCATGGTCAAACGGGCGCGGTCAATGATGCCAAACATTATCAACGCTTCGCGCATCCCAACCATCTCATCCAGAAAAAGCGCCCAGGAAACATGTCTAGAGGAGGTTCGTGGGTAAGCAAACAAACTGATGATTCGTTATAAACGAGTGCGCGCGAATAATGTCATTTTCAGAGGATGCGGGGGGGATGGCCCCCTGGGATGGTGCGAATTCCTATTTAGGATGGACGATGGGGCAAAATCGCATGTAAATCGTCATACGAAAGGGGGTGCCGAGAATCCAAGGAGGGGGAGTCTAGAAATAATAGAGCTACGCGGTGCAAACTCTGCGTGGTGCTGCATATGATGTGCAATGTATGTGGTGCAAACAATGCGGTGCAGCCTGTGCGATGCAATCTTTGCGGTGCAATCTACGCGGCGCAATTTGCGTTGCGCCATTTACGGCGGCGACGGAGCGCGACGAGGCAGCGCCGGCGGCAACGCGGCTGCCAGACCGAAGACACGGCCCATACGATGGGGAGCGACGGGGCGGCGGCGGCGGCCACATAGCCGCCAGAACAAAACAACGGCCTAGTTCCAAAAGCGAAGGACCAAAAAGTTAGCAAGCACTGTTTGGAGAAGCGCACAACGTCCACGCGCGCGCGCCGTCGTGCGCACATGCTGGCGCCTGTCAAAAACAATAGATTTCGCGAGGTCCCAAAAAATTTAATGCTACGATAGCGTTGAATGAAAACCAAGGTCGGCAACGCAATCCAATCAAAAAACTCGCGCGCGCGCGCACTGCCGAATCCTTACGAAAAAAACATCAAGTTGCCCACATTTCCATCAAATGCGACCGAGCGGGCCACTCGCGCGCGCATGCCGGAATTATTCGAACGCCCTCGCACGCTTGCTGGGGGGGAGGGGCCGCGGGGCGCGACCGCTTTCAAATGATAGCACGCGGGCCACTCGCGCCCGTCGGCCACGCGCATGTCAAACTCTCCCCAAACTTTCATCGACGACGCGCGGACACCACTATCGTCGTCGACGTGGTCAACATAGGCGCTGTCCGTCATTGGCCTTGCCGTCGTCATCGCCGCCGTCGTCATCGGCATCGGCGTTATCATCGGCACCCTCAGTGGGGGGGCATCTATACGCGTCGTTGACTTTAACACGAATCCGTCTCATCACATGGAGTCCAGCTATAATATGCGCACGCCGGTTTATCCTAATGGATGCACTTCCAAGAGCCCATTTGCAAGTTAACCGGGAGAAGTCGACACGCGCGCGCTGTCGCGCGCGCATGCTGAAATCTGTTACACAGTGGTGCTCCCCGAGAACATATGGAAAACTTGGCGTTGCGATATTTGTGGAACAGAAGAACTGCGCGCGCGCTCAACCACGAGTGTTTCCACATTGTCGTCAAATGCGGCCGAGCGGGCCTCTCGCGCACGCATGTCGAAGTCATTCGAACTTGCGCACTGCCTTCGGGGTGGAAAGGGACGACCCTTGTCAACTAGCACCAAGCGGGCCACTCGCGCGCGCCAGCCGCGCGCGCATGTCGAAATCCTTCCAAAACATTCATCGCCAACCGTTGGACACCATCATCGTCAACGGCGTGACCAGCATCGGCGGCGCCATTGGCGTCGCCATCGTCATCGTCAGCATCTTCACCAGCACCGCAACAATCATCATCGCGTCGGCGGTTGTCGACGTCGCCATAGTACCGCGCCCGCCCGAATCAACGACTCGCACTGAGGTGCCCGCGCGTCGGCGCGGCCTGCGAGACGCACTGGGAAGTCCAGGCAGCCAGCGCAACCGCGGCCGCACTGCCCCAGCGCGTGCCGCATCCGTGTGTGAGAATGGTACTCTCGTTTGGGCCTCGGCCGCATCAGTCTTCTGCGAGCGTCGCCTCCGGAGCGAGACAACTGGCGACCGCAGCTACCGTCCCTTCGTGCTGGGCGAATGCCGAACCCGGCGTTCGGTTTGGACGGAACCCGTCGGGCCTGTTGCCAAGCGGCGCTGCGCCAGGTTAGCCCACCCAACGTCAGGTTCGGGAACGGGTCGTAGCAACACTGCGGCTACATCAATATGCGAACCGCAGAGTCAATTCAACATGTAGGTGCAAGGATCAAGTTTACAAGGCGAAGCGCAGCGAGCCTGAAAATCTTGCTCATGTATATATGTAAATAGATGTGGGAGAGAGAGAGAGAGAGAGAACAAAAAAAGAGAGAGATGGAGAGAGAGAACAAAAATGATTCGCAACCATGGTTTTGACAAAAAAGGCCCGCGCTGTTGCGAACTTTTGATCAAAAAAGCCATAAGCGTTTCAACATGTTCCTTGGAGGTTACCATACTGGCCTTTTGCGCGGGCCTGACAGAAGCGTCCGAACGCCCAGGCGCGCGTGCTGTCGCAAGAATCCCTGGCAACAAAAAAGCAAGTGCTGACTGGCGCTCCTCATCGCGCGCGTATGCCGGAATCCTGCAAGAACCTGAGGTTCCGTAGCGATGTCAAAAACCTCCGGTCCCGAAAATATATCCAAACACATGGTTTTTCGTCCAAATCAATTACCAAAAATCATGCACTCGCGGTCTTGCGAGTTCGACTTGAAACCATGAATTTCCCAACCTGTTCATCAAATTCTGCCAAAAGGGCCCCCCGCACCGCATGCCAGACCCATACGAACGCCGTTGCGCGCGCGCCGGGGGGGGGCATGATCCGCGTTAAAGAATACCACCTGGGCCACCAACGCGCGTCGGCCGCGCGCGCATGTCGAACTCCTTGGAAAGCCTTCATCGCCGACGCGAAGATACCACCGGGACTGATCAACATCGGCGCCGTTATTGGCTTTGCCGTCGTCCTCGCCACCATCGCGACCATCATCGCTACTGTCAGAATCGTGTCTACCGTTGTCGGCGTCGCCATGATACCGCGCCCGCCCTGGTTACCGACTCACATTGAAATGCTCGTTGGGAAATGTCCAGCGGTCACCGCCACCGCGGCCGCGCCAGTCGCGCCAAACTAGCTGGCCGCTGTGTGTGTGTGTGTGCGAGCATGCGCGGGCTAGCGCGGCCGCAAAGATGCACCAGCCAACGCCAGGTACGCATCGCAATCGCCGCCGCATGGGTTTTGCAGACCAAGTTGCGGATGGATGTTTGCAAGGGCATGGAAGTTGACAGTCGATTTGTCAAAACTAAATGCACCACATAGATTGGGCAACGTAGAATTCTACAAGCACGCTGATTGGTGTCCACGCTGGCGAACATGTGATACTTCCACGTGTCCCATGGCACCCCCGTGAAATTCTGAAGGCGCCCCCGTAAGTTCTGGGATGGCCTCTGGGTATC